ACACAGATGACATCCCCAGCTTAACATGCTTATGGACCTGCTGGAGCTATTGTTACAAAGGATCCTCCAATGACAAAGAGGTTAATGCCCTTGCCCATGCCCTGTAGAAGGTATTGCACATCCTAGTAAGCTTATCAACTGACCCAGTGTCTAATCTCGAGATGAAAGATTGAAGTGGTGGAATATACTAAGACTAGATCAAACACATGCCTATCACAGCCACGATGTCTGTATTACCTGCTGGTCTTTGTTTCAGTCAGGTGTGCAACGAAAAAATAAGTGGTGAGTTTGAAGCCACATCTCCACAATGCCATTTGAAAATGAAATGCAAGGGATGAACTAAGTACAGTAAACTACGGTCATAACGACGAACTCAAAGGGACCAGTAATTTTAGCTTGTTATAATCGTAGTTCGTTATAAGCATATATAAGCAACAGCAAAAGGCTGGGACCAAAAAGACCCATTTGTTGTATCTGTCAGTTCGTTATAAGCGTGGGGGCACGGGTGGCCCAGTCGTCTAAGGCGCCGGGATTGTACCCACCCGACCCATATCATCAAAGAGACCTACACACTGGCCACTATATCATATCTTCTGTTGCATTGCAACTGTTGTTGTTCAAAGTAGTCGAGGTACTGAAGTTCACTTTTATTCAGTGATAAACAACCTGAGTGTTGAGAAGGTGTAAACCCAGCTATTTGTACAAAAAAAACCACCACCCAATGCTTGGATATCATGCAGCTAATTATTTCTATCAACATTTTGTGAGGCCTTTTTGGATACTTTGTGAAATTTTAAGGGGGAGGTTGACAGATGTGACTGAAGATATTACAGATCAAATTGATGTTTTCTTATGTAATGAATGAAAACCTTTTTTGTTCTTGTTACTGTTTCCTTTAGCTTCAATACATCACCTATTTGTTACTAAAATTAGCAAAAATTGTTGATAAAAAAAGTGAATTAAAATTTAGAAAATTTAAATAGAAAGTATATACATATAGAGCACAAAATAAACCTTAGCTATGACAATTGTCTTTCCACATTCTAGTGACCTTGACCTTTCACAAAAGCCAATAAAAGCATGTACCTAGTACAACTGGAGACAACTACTAAGAGATACTATACCCCTAGTTTGGTGAAAATGCTACAGTAAAATATCACTGAGGTCATCAGTTTTTATTTCATAAGTAGTGACTTTGACCTTCAAAATCTGCCATTCATATGCCAGAAATGAGACCCTTCTCATATGAAGTACAAAAACTCTGAAAGTACAGTGACAATGTAGTAGACAAACTGGATATTCAACTGATTTCACATACCTTATTTCAGATAACCTTTTTTCAAAAATAAAAACTTACTTTATAGTAAAAAATACCATTGAGGTCATCAGTTGCTGGTAGGATTATTTCATAAGTAGTGATCTTGAGCTTCAAAATCTGCCAATCATATGCCAGAAATGAGAACCTTCTCATATGCAGTACAAAGACAAGTACAGTGACTATGTACTAGATATTTAACTGATATTTCAAAAATAAAACCTTACTTCATTTGTTAATGGTGTGATGAACATCCTCCAGACATTTGAAATGTGTCCAATGGTTCTGAAGGAGAAGAGGTTGTCATAACAATTTGCTACTTCAGCTATTCTAAAGTTCTGAAAATCAATGTTCAGTAATTCTGAAGAAGGGTTTGTTTAATTTCAGTGCCAACAGATGGACAGACAGAACCATGACACATGCATATATTGAGGATGTCAAGGTGACCTGAGGACAAAAGTATATTAAAATGTCTGTCCATGAAGTGCTACTTTTCTATTCTTGTGTCTTCAGAATCTAATATCTAGTGTAGTGTTTATCACGAATTGCTACTTTCCTATTCTTGTGTCTTCAGTGTCTAATATCCAGTGCAGTGTTTATCACAGGGGTCCGGAAAATTTAAAATCCCAATCGGACATTTGAATTTAGGCCACGCCCCCTTCAAATAGCGTATTGTAAGATGACTTTTCACACACACATTACAAGTTGTTACGTATTCATAATATGATGAATTATGAATTGTTTCAATTTAAATTGTTTAATTCACCGGACAATTAATAACAAATAATATCATTTTAGATATACTTCGAAAACATACGTTTGTTTCTGTTATAATAACGATCTGTTAACGTAGTGAATGGTCTAATTAATATTCATGAGTTATATTCATGAGTCTGCTCAAGTGTACGCGTTGTAACATTTGGATCGAGACTATTATCCCATATTTGGTTATCATGTGACCTCACGGGAAAAAAATATTTTAAACTAAAGATTATTTAAAAACAAGATGATGCAATGATCAATGATGCAAGGTATTTATGTACAGTTGTAAACACCTTTCACTCAAATTAACAAGATGTTCTCAGTAATTAATCCTCGATTAATCAGTGTCAACTCAGTTTATTGCCTATTACAGTGATTGACTGGTTGGACTATCATGTAGGTACGATGTATTTACAGCAATCAAAACAAACAAAGCTTGTCAGTGTAGATAATCTTCATTGTGTTACAACTGCAGACAGACACTGCTCAGTCTTAACTGTTGATCATTTCCGGTCAAAATTTAAGAATGTCCGGACAATACTTTTGAAAATGTCCGGACAGAAAAATTTAAATGTCCGGTAAGCAATATTTTAAACCGGACATTTGAGATTCCCAATCAGACATGTCCGGCGCATATGACGGTTTCCGGACCCCTGGTTTATCACAAAGTGCTACTTTCCTATTCTTCAGTCTTCAGTGTCTAATATCCAGTGTAGTGTTTATCACAAAGTGTTACTTTCCTATTCTTGTGTCTTAAGTGTCTAATATCCAGTGTAGTGTTTATCACAAAGTGCTACTTTCCTATTCGTGTGTTTTCAGTGTCTAATATCCAGTGTAGTGTTTATCACAAAGTGCTACTTTCCTATTCTTCAGTCTTCAGTGTCTAATATCCAGTGTAGTGTTTATCACAAAGTGTTACTTTCCTATTCTTCAGTCTTCAGTGTCTAATATCCAGTGTAGTGTTTATCACAAAGTGCTACTTTCCTATTCGTGTGTTTTCAGTGTCTAATATCCAGTGTAGTGTTTATCACAAAGTGCTACTTTCCCATTTATGTGTCTTCAGTGACTAAAATCCAGTGTAGTGTTCATTGCAAAAAGCTACTTTCCTATCCTTGTGTTCAAGCATCTAAAATCCAGTGTAGTGTTCAATGCCAAAAGCTACTTTCCTATTCTTGAGCATGTTGAGTCCCAGTGTCTACAATCCAGTGTCATGAAGTACTTCCCTGTCTGCACCCACAAAGATTGATTTATAAGTTGACTTTACATTTTGTTTGTTTTAACATAACAACCAATCAGAGACCTCGTACTACTGAGTAATGGATATTTTAACCCTGTGTGAATTAAAAGCATGGCTCTCATTAGTCAGCATAATCTCACTGTAAAATGACTTATGTACCTCACTGGTGCATTAGCAATCTGCTCTCCATAATATTTTATGCCTGTAAATAATTTCATGAAAATAAAATGACAAAAATCGCAATTTTTTGGGGGACGAGCATATCGTAACATAAATTACGCCAAAATTGTAATGGTTGGCATCTCTGCAGATTGTATGCCCAGGACCATCTGAGCTTCTCAATGATGAGCAACCCACTGCCCCCTGGGCTACGCAACCAATGCAGAGACAAACAACAGTGATGATACCACTCACATCTCATGCACAACTTTCAAAATATTCTACAAAGATCAATATCACATAACACTATCAACTTTAACATAACAAGATGGACAAAATGTTCGGGACAGATTCTAGCTTCTCCAATATTGCCACCACTGGCAGTGAAATATTCATATTGTCAACATTTTGGGGTATAACAATAAACACAGATATCTAATTCAACACATTGCTTTGGCATACATTTTTTTAACTGAGGAACACAGTAAAATGGAAACATTTGTATCGCGCAGCACTATGTTTTCATGCCTCTTATCATATATCAATAAACAAGAACAATTAACAAAGATAAAAAATCTGCATCATTGTTAATTTATGTTTACAAATATGAACTTTTTATTGTTTTGCACTTTATCTTGTTATAAATGTATAAACATCTTCAACCACAAGAAATGTAAAGTGTATCAAAATGTGCTATCTGGCTCAAATTTGTCATGGTAACTTATTGCATAAGTAGCAAATTTACATGTCCTACAACAATAAAACCCAGAGCGGGAACGTCCTCAACTGTCAGACAAACAACACACATTGAATCTGTATTGTCAAGCTCTATCCTCTAGAAACAAGAGGTTTAAACACTCAATAACTACTTTTTTATATCACTTTATCCACAAGTCACTTGTGTCTTAATTAAACTAAATGCTAGCTACATGTAAAATCTCAGTGACACAAACTCCATGATAAGTTCTATCATTGTTAAAAGTCCATTGTTAAAGAGTTCCATGTGAAAATTTGAGAACCTACATTCAATACCATTCCTAAAAAGGTAACTGCGTTCAATTGGAATCACAGCTCCAGTAAATCATCTTTACATCATTTTATGAACAGAAATATACCCAATGGAACTTATATTTATAAGACATGGGAGCCAAAATAAATACCATGTCCAAATGAAAAACCTACAAATTTCAAAAATATTTTGACGAGAACCATATTTGCAAGATGTGTGACGCCACAAGTCGGGAAGATGTACACATGGTCCACTGGTCAACACACTGGTCAACTCACTGGTCAACACACTGGTCAACATACTGGTCAACACACCGGTCAACTCACTGGTCAACACACCGGTCAACTCACTGGTCAACACACTGGTCAACACACTGGTCAACACACTGGTCAACTCACTGGTCAACTCACTGGTCAACACACCGGTCAACTCACTGGTCAACACACTGGTCAACACACCGGTCAACTCACTGGTCAACACACTGGTCAAAACACTGGTCAACACACTGGTCAACACACCGGTCAGCTCACTGGTCAACACACTGGTCAACACACCGGTCAACTCACTGGTCAACACACCGGTCAACTCACTGGTCAACACACTGGTCAACTCACTGGTCAACACACTGGTCAACACACTGGTCAACTCACTGGTCAACACACTGGTCAACACACCGGTCAACTCACTGGTCAACACACCGGTCAACTCACTGGTCAACACACTGGTCAACACACTGGTCAACACACTGGTCAACACACCGGTCAACTCACTGGTCAACACACCGGTCAACTCACTGGTCAACACACCGGTCAACTCACTGGTCAACACACTGGTCAACACACTGGTCAACACACTGGTCAACACACCGGTCAACTCACTGGTCAACACACCGGTCAACTCACTGGTCAACACACTGGTCAACACCACCTGAGCTGACACTACTACAGGAAGATGACATACCAAACACTCAATAGGATCCTGATCGATAACACTAACCTGCAGCAGTAGTGACTTTGGTGCAAGCATAAAATCTTGGGTAAGAGAATGTGACTTGTTGTCATCATCATTCAGGTAGCTGAAGTAAAATCCATAACAAAATTCCTTCTACATGGTAAAATCAGAACCAACCGCCCACACACACATCTCAGTCTTGAGGGAGAGACATTGTTTCTGTAAACGAAAAACAAGAACAATAAACTGATGAGACACTAACGGCATAATTGATGACAACTATTTCTGTTCGGCTTGGCTGTATACCTGCAACACTACAGCACACATAGTAAAATCCCAATCCCCGACCCCTCAACACACACATGAACACACGAATATTGACACATGAATGAACACACACACACACACACACACAAACGCACACACACACACGCACACGCACACGCGCACGCGCACGCGCACACACACACACACACACACACACACACACACACACACGAACACACAAACGAACACACACACTAACACACACACACTAACACACACACACGCACCACAACCACCACACACACACACACCACCACCACACACAGACACTGCATTTACGGGTGGTGATGGGACTTTTACCATGTATATTGAATTTTGTTATGCATTTCACTTCAGCTTACTTTTGGGTCATGGAACTTTGTACAACTATCCTAAATCTTCATCATTTCAGGTCAGAATAGACCATCTTTTCCTGGTCCCAAAGGAGCTTCCGCAGAACAGCATTGGGCATATGGAGAAGACAAACTTGGTAGAACCTCTGGTTCTTGGGCTTATTCTGGACCACACAGCGCCATGAGTTTGTAATCTTGTTGTAAGCTCGTACACAGTGAAATGCATTGCCAATGTCAAGGTCACCAACCACCAGCACGTCTTCCCCATTGTAGACTGCACCCTCTATATGCGATGCATCCGTCATTGTGCACATCCCTGGAACTCCACCTTTATTACACATTGGAAGCCAGTGATCGTTACATGTGGAGTATATTTCTGTGCCGCAGAATTTCAAGCTGTGACCAGAATGCATTGCGCTTGGACATTCAAATCGACGAAATCCACCAAAAACGTAAATGTCCTCATCAACTGTTACGGCTCTCGCGTCGCATCGTCTCTCCCGCATGGGGCAGACAGACACCCAAGTCTCAGTTCTAGTGTCAAAACATTCCACAGCTTCATAAAACTTGCCAACTGTGCCACCTGCAATAACATAGATCTTCTTCCCCACAGCGGCGTATGCTGACCACACTCTTTTCATTGTCATGTCAGGAAGGGACTGCCACTTGTTGGAGAATACGTTGTAGGTTTCCACGAAGGTCAAGGGATCTGTCATGTCATTGCTGCCACCAATAGCGTAGATGTTGTCATCGACGGCCACCAGCCCGAAGCCAACACGTGCATGTGCCATAGGTGCACAAACAGTCCATGTGTTAGTGTTGGGGTCATATTTCTCACCAGTGTTCAAGATCTGACAGTGACGATCTCGTCCTCCAAATACATATATGGACCCACCTGGTGACAGAAAAAGAAGTCTGTTACAATGTCACATGTACAGTTTAGAAGAGATCCGATCACAGTATGACCCCACACAAAACCTTAAACAATATCAAGGCAAAAAGGGTAGCTTTCAAACTACCTAAAAGAAGCTTTCAAACTACCTATAAGAAAACAGAAAAATACATGCCCAGGCAGGGTTTAAAAAACATATGTATGTACCCAACTCCTCTGGTCAGATCAGAGACATACTAAAGAGGGATAACTACGTCCCAGAAAGAGTATTTCTGCACATATTTCAAGTTTCTATAAGAATACTGTATTCTGTTGAATGAAGTGTCAACTGTCTAAAGCTTTCCCTTCTCGCCCTAATGTCGTCCTGTATTACCTCCTCTCCACTCCCTTGGTATGGCGTTGAACAACAAACCAACCAACCCTTGGTACACATTTATCCCCACAACATGGAACCAGGGGGTGGTGGTAAGAGGAGAGATGGGGACTTCCTTGTCAGTGGCCTAATGTCGTCCTGTATTACCTCCTCTCCACTCCCTTGGTATGGCGTTGAACAACAAACCAACCAACCCTTGGTACACATTTATCCCCACAACATGGAACCAGGGGGTGGTGGTAAGAGGAGAGATGGGGACTTCCTTGTCAGTGCCCTAATGTTGAAAATATATGTTTAACCTGATTCAAATGACAGCAGAAATCTTCAAGGACCCTTGATCCTCCATCACCTCTAACTTCTAGGGCTGGGCCGAGTCAATACTTATTACCTGGGTACCCGGCCCTCTATTACACGGCCCTACCCGGGTATCCGCTGTATGTCTGATAAGTTGGGCACAAAATGTCTGATTAGTTTTTTGGAATTGTTTTACTGAAGCCCTGGCAAAAACTTTTCAGATACACTCATAAAATGATCAGCGCATGCATGCACTGAAGTTGACTGAAGCTTCATCTAATTCAAACATATAAAAGTCAGAAGGAATGTGTGCGCAGTCAGAAAGAAATGTGACCAATAGTGTTTGTTGTTTAACACCGCACTCAGCAATATTCCAGCTATATGACGGCAGTCTGCAAATAATCAAATCCAGTGACTGACATCATGAGCATCGATCCATGCAATTGACATATGATGACATGCATCAACGAAGTCAGCGAGCCTGACCACCCGATCCCATTAGTCGCCTCTTATGACAAGTATAGTCACCTTTCACACCAAGCATGGGTTGCTGAAGACCTATTCTACCGATAATCACGGGTCACGACCAATAGTGACTTGTTCTGTAACTATGAACTTACAGTGAATTGTTTCATTAAACAATATATCAAATGACTAACCATGGGTCCAGGTAGTACTGTGGGTACCTGGGTCCTACTCAGTACCCACACAACCCGAGTACCCGAGTTACCTGTCCGAGCCCTACAACCTTCCAGTACTTATTCAGTCTGTGCCAAACACTTTGAGTCTACTCGCTCGAACTTGTGTTTGGGATTACTTTCAGTAGATATTAGTCACAGTATATGGACTAGTACAAGCTGATCTTACTAGACCATCGGACATTGTACACTTTGGACTTCGGACTTGTGGATAAAGCAGCAGCCTGCTGATTATCTCCCCTGATACCCTGCTCAACTGTCAATGACTCCTAAATCAGTGGTTTGGTTGTTTGTTTGTTGTTTAATGCCGCACTCAGCAATATTCCAGCTACATGACGGCGGTCTGTAAAATTGAGTCTGGAACAGACAATCACGTGACTGACATCATGAGCATCGATCCACGCGATTGGGATCAATGACATGAATGAACCAAGTCAGCGAGGCCGACAACCTGATCCTGTTTTATCCCCACACAACGACAAGCATAGTCACCTTTTATGGCAATAATGTGTGTACTTATATTGCACTAGACTCCATACACAAGGTGCACCTTCAAAGCGCTAATATTATTACCCCAGTCAATGGATCAGTGTGCACTCAATGACAGTCTCAGCTCCAAGGGGAGAATACAACCTAAGCCGCCTTATCAGGTGCTAGAAAGTTAACAGTCACAATACCATCTCGTCCTGCCAGGTACCAAAAATACTGCTGGGTGAACAGAGGCATATTTTGAGCAAAGTCACTTGCATAATGTGCTGCATGTGCTTCAGTGTGGGGTAGAACAGAAGCCCAAGAAACTGTCAGGAATCAAACTGTCACCAATCCAACTACCGTATTCGGCGTAATAAGCGACCACGGCAATATTTGCTAATATATTGGCTCGTGAACAATCCCAATTAGCACCCTTTCCCATTGATCAGTGTACACAATTCTTATTTATTCGCGTATTATATGCACTCGTGTGTTATATGCACCCTTAATCTTTGGCAATTAAATTCTGGAAAAATATATCTCTTGTATATAAACATTTCTGGCTGTCAGCATAAACCACGAAATTTATCTTTCAACTCAGTTTTTTTTCCGACAAAATAACATTCTGATAAGAGCCCCCTATTTCTAATTTTGAGAGCGCCCTGGGCGGTATTCTCCGTGACTTCACCTGATTTGTGACCTGTGTGCTGTGCACAGGACCATGTGCCACTGTTATGGTGTCTTTGAACAAGGGACCATGGGTGCAATGAAGATGACCGAAACCAATAATCATGTATAAGAACACTAACCAACTTCAACCATTCCGTGTCCGGTACGAGGGCTGTTCATGTTGGGCAGTGAGATCCACTGGCCAATGGTAGAAGTGCCTTGATTGTAGATTTTCACGCAGTTGACAGTTGCTTTGACTTCAGAGTCATCACTATGACTGTAAAACATGTCATCCAAAAATTAACATACCATCATACACATACCATTTTAGTCAGCTTGTGAAAAAGAATTGTCTTCTGTATATTGAAATGTAAAATGGTCGTGTTCATGCACACATTGACTGACCAACAGGACCTTTTAGTGGACTTCGTGCATATTCATGGACCTAACCTCCCTTCGAGGCCGTTATTTGCTGGGTCATGAATATTCATTAATTTTGCTAAAAGGTCCTGTGACTGACCAAAATCTCATGACATGCAAATCAAACAAGTCACCAAGGTTGATCACACGATTCATTTAGCCAGATCTTACAACTTGTATAAGTTGCAAAGGACTGAATCCAAGATATACATCATACTTGGTACATATAAACACAGTCTTCAGATAACTTTTTGAGCGATTAAGTTTTTACTCAAAGGTTTTAATTGGGTAACCAATATTTTTTCACTTATCTATCTATTTTTTCACTTATCTATCTATTGGGTTTTTTCCCAAAATGAGTAAGCATTTTGAGATTTAAAAAAAAAATGAAACAATGTTTTAGACATTTTAGATGTGTATAACGGTTCTAAATATAGGCTTGGAAATTAGCTCCATTGAACACATACTAAAAAAAGCTTCATTGGGTATTTACGTGTGCTGTTTTAAAAAAATTGGGTGTTTCATTTAATGCATGTGTTTTGGTACACAAGTTAATTGAAAGTAATTGGGTTTTGAATAGTTTGGGGGGGTATTTTACGTAAATATGCAGCTAATCTGTAGCTCTGTATAACCAGTCAATATATATACTGTGGACTTCAGCAGAGAAGACATGACAGAGTATTTTGGAAAATACAATAAATAGTTAAGAAAATGTGTAAGATACTATCTTTTCAACTTCAAAACCTATATTACTTACTCGGACACATTTCCTTCTCCCCCACAAGCTAGGAGAACACAGCTGAATCCCCTCGGACGCAGTTCCGTTGCTGTCTGTCGAAGATCCGTGATCAGTTTTGGCAAGCATAAGCGATTAAGATCTGGACTGGGATCTTCAAATGCCTCAAGGAAACTCTCCGATATCTGGGCAGCACGTACACATCTTGTCACTGCATCAGTTATCTCTGCCTGATGACCTTGGACATCGAAGCGAAACCACCGGATGATAGCATCAAGGATGTCATCCTCTGAGTTGATGACAAGTGTGTCCCTATTGAGTAGTTCTGTGACAGCCTCGGCCGAGAGGCTGAGGAACTCATCACAGAAACTTACCTCCCTGTGGTAAAATCATAGATAAGAGGTGAAATGGGGTTTAACATCGCGTTAATTGCACTTATATAGCGACGTGTGTATGTGTGTGTGTGGCTGCTTGTACTAGTCCAGACTGATGCCGATTTATAGTGCTAGCTCAGAGATACCATGCCGCAGTTTAACATGAATACCCCACTCAGACACAGTATACTGACTCCGAGCCGACCAGTCCTTGTTTTAGCCCCTTAATGCCGAGCGCCAGACAGGGTAACAACAAGTACCATCTTTTAACGTCTTTTGGTATGACGAACCCCGGACCTTCCTCTCTCCGGGCGGACGCTCTACCACTAGACCATGAAGGCGGTCCCAAAAATTAGAAGTGCATCATGACACACATTACTCAACTTTTGATTGGATACTTGTACTTGACTGATTGAATGCAGAAATAACAGTATTTGATGTTGCTTTGGAACAGACAGATTTTCAACTTAATTTCAGGGTGAAATAAACATGTTCAAAGTTCATACCTTGACCTTTCCCATGTATGAATGGCAATTAAAATATGAATACTGTATTTCCTCTATTAGATGCTGGACCTCCAACACATGCCGGCCTCTCCTTGATGTCAGGTCATATGTTGTTAAAAACATAGAAGCCTAAAAGATGGGCTGGGTCTCTATGCAGGCTGGGTCCATTATTTAATGAAATAAATTATCCCCATCACATTAACTTATGGCATATAATGATTACTCTCATTCACTTCTAGTAAAGTACTAGTATCTCCACGTGGAAAGGGCATGTCAAGGGTATGCAGTTTAAACTTCACGATATGTGCCAGAATTTATAAGAGTAAATGCCATGCTTCTAATAGACACTTCTTTGGAACGCAAACATTTTTTCATGATAAAATATGAAGGCAGGGAGCCATTATGTGCTTACTTCTTCAAATTTTGAGTTTACTAACCCAAACTTGGCTTTTAGAATAATTTTCAGTAGATATTTAATGTTATTATTATATATGGGCAATTATTAGCCAAATTTACCAAGCCCAACAGAATTTTACCAAACTTAGGCTTTGGGTTAGTGGACAAGTCTCTGGGTGTAAAACTGACCTGAAGTGTTCATCCAGGTAACGGGTTACTTTGTGGAGGAGCCAGCTGCAGGTGTATTGGGAAGAGAACTCCCTGATGCCGATACAGTTGGTGGGCGTGATGCAGGTGTCCAGGTAGTCACAGCACAACACCTTGAGGTCATTCAGAAGGAACAGGTCCGCTGCTTGTAGGACATCTTGGATGGTGTCAGGGCATAGGTTGATCTCAGCAGTGTACAGGAAGTCCAGGATCAAGGTGAAGGTCACCATGGTTATACTGACAGATCCCAGGTTGATCACAGTTTTGCCATTTTCTGTCTCTGTTGCCTCACCATAGTTGAACAGTGCTCTGAGAATGGAACACAACAGTTGGTGTTTCTAGTGACAACAGCTTATTTCAATACGTATTATTGTTTGTTATGTATTAAGCATGTGTTAGATGTTGAAACATATTTATCTGAGAGCATATTCGTAATTTCACGAGTTACACAACATTGTTACTACTGAACAAACTCAAGAAAAATGGCAACCTGTTGACAAGAAGAGCAAGTGTGACAGCTTTGCTCATTGGCTTTTAGGATGTGTGTTTTCCTTATTTAGAGTTTGATTTTTCTATTTCTTCCGAAGACGATTTCTGTGGGACATACAAATCTATGATTAATATCTAAGCAGTCAAAGACAGCTAATCCTTTACAATCAAGTCACATATGTAAACAGCTACAGTGCATGTGTGAATCGATGCATTTTGTATACATATTTATAACAGTAATTAGTAGCAGTCCTTTTAAAGAGTTCAAGGTGCGATTTCCCATTTACAAGACTGCACTAATGTAAGTTAAGTTCGTATTTAGCTGACTGCAGAGTGCAGTCGGTAAAATATTCCACAAACATAACTGTAGATAAAGCATATATTTTAAACACTAGCACTGAAGAGTCAACATGAACAACCATTTACATGGACACAAATAAGTACGACCCAACACTGGAGATCTAATTTAATACATATGTCAACATCACAGCATGAATATACAATCGTAAGTAGGTCTAAACAAAACAGGAACCCTTTTTACTTCTTTCTTTGAACTCAGTATCTCAGGCACCATCATGTTGACCATGAACGCTATATTAAACAATTTCTGTTCACATTATCGATCATAGGTAGTGAGACAACACTACAGATTTCAATCTTGTTATCATTGCATATGTTTCACTTAAAATTCTTGTTCTCATGGATACCTAACCAATAGCCTTGGTCTACCTTTAGAATACTGAACCACCAACCTTTCAAACAGTCAAACACGTCACAATACCCTTTGACGTAATTTGTGATATTGTGTTTCTAGATACACTGTTGAAACAATGCCCTGTGACGTCAGGGGTCATCGAGTGTGCATAAGCTCTTCTCAGTGATCTATTATCTCTACACACAATGTACATGAATAAGCCCAGCAATGTTGAGAGTTTTCAATATTTCCTTACAAAATATAGCCTGTGACGGCACATTTATAGCAGGCGCCAGTTAATGAAACCATTTCTCTTTTCAATATATATTTTTTTTCGCGCTCAACATATTTCATCTAGATAAATAGATTGTAATGGGAACTAATGTGCATACTTTATTTTTTTATTCAAAAGTCTTTATCATTATGCACAGGAATGCAGTTTATTAGGTATGTTTTTGGGTTGAACACAACTAAATGTCAGTGGTCTGATCACTACCTATCTATCTATCTATCTATCTATCTATCTATCTATCTATCTATCTATCTATCTATCGTGGGACTTCTTTCGCATTGAATCAATTAGACTTCTAATGACAAGGATGGATATGAGACTTTATTAGCTGTGGAGGAGGTCTCAGGGGGTAGTGCCCTCTTCTAATTCAATTTCAAGCATGTGAGCTGTAGGCACAAAATGTGCAAATACATGCACTTGTCAGGGTATTCTTGAATATTTTTTTCACATTTTGCCACATTTACACTGTATTTATTCCTCTCACAAAAAATGTTGTGTGAGCAGGAAGTTGTTTCATGTCAAATGTTTTTGGCTACAGAAAACTGTCACTGAATTTCCAACCAAGCTACTTTCACTCACGAAACTTCGTCAGTAATGATTCACCCTGCCTCAACTGCCTCACCCGCTTGGCATCAGTAGTCAGCGCCTATACCTTCCTAGTTCCTTGATATGATGCACATTTTTCCTTACACTACAGTGTTCTACAAATTATTAAAAAGCTGTCATTCATACATACTCATGAACTCAACGTCTGATACCTGGAGCCATTCGCGCCATATTGGCTCATTCCTTGCTTCTTGGTATATTGTAGATTACATAATAGGATGAGTATGCCAAATGGCATTGGGATTGCTTGTAAGTGTCTGAAGGCTAAAATCATGAGACACCATGACTACCCATAACCTTCGTAAGTGTCTGTCACCTTTTAAACCCTTTCCATTCAGGTCCGTATAGTCTTTGGCATGACTATGTAAATTTGCACTAAATTTAACAATGTGGACGTAGCTCAATCAGTTAGCTGTTGGGCTAACAATATGAATGTCGTGAGTTCATGTTTAATGGATTCTAATAAAAACTGGTTGCTTGTCTTTGAGACATGTAAAATATGGCAGAGATTGTCCATGTCATCCTATAAGTTGTGGTACTTTATTCTAAAGGTGCTTATCAGGTGTTCATTGTTCTGTATAGGTCAGCAGATTTGTGAACGGGTAAGCTATTACTTCTACTAGGCACACTTTTTTGGATTTCTATTAGTGCTGGGCACAGGATCAATCTCACTAAAATCAGATCTGAGTTCTCGCTACCACTAAACAAAGATCTGAGGACATCCCATTATGGGTCACGTCAGAACGACTTTTCATCTGACCAAATCAGAGCGTCGCTTATCAGATCATGAAAGTGACAGTTGGAATGTGTTTTTTGATCATGCAACCTCGAAAATAAAACATACCAGGTATTCCAGAATGTTCTTTTGTTGAGTTTTTAAATTTTTTAATCGGGTATATGTCAAAATATGTTTGAAGCGTAGTCGCCAGTTTGAAGCTCGTGACATAGAGCTCGATTAAGCTGCCTTCTGATTGGTTAATGTCGACTTCTTATCAGTCATTCCATTGGTTGGTCAAAGTTCGCGAAAGGTCGGTCTGAAGAGAACTAAGATCTGATTTTAATGAGATTGGGCAGAGGAAAGAACTTGCATTTCCAGCTTGAGGTAGTAGCTCAGCTATGCTAGGCTCATAAGTTAATTTAATTATCCAACACTTTACCATGAGACCACTGCGCTATCATAAATAATTTGAGCTTGTTTACTGAGAAATCAGCGACCGACTGTTTACCTTGAGGCACAAGGGCGGTAACATTTGTCCACTGAAAATCTCAAAAACTGAACACAAACTTAAAAACTGAATTTCCTCTAATAACATTGATATAATTTGTTAAAAGAGGAGAGATAGCTAACCCTAGCTCACAACTAACCCTAAGAACCGTAAATGAGCACCTAACCCTTACTATGGTAAGGGGGGTTTTGATTGGCAAAAGGTGCCCAACCCTAATGATCGTGAAGGGTGGTTTGATAAGAAAAGATCAACTAATCCTAATAATCAGCAAGGGCTACCAGTATAGAGTTTGTTTGGCCTAATTACTCCAAATGATGAAAGTGGCACGCAAGATCAATGAAGCGTGAGTTGAAGCCGGAGCAAACTAAAGCTATAAGAGCTGATAAAATGCCCCTTTGAAAACTGCAGTCTCGTGGACAGCCAAGCAGAGGGGTCAGCAAGCAAAAAGAATATGTCAGAATGACTAAACTTGGGTAAAAGAAATCTACCTGAAGTAGTGACTGGCAGCCGACAATACATTCTTTTGAACGTGTTTTTTTTCTTCACCGATAACAACAATTGCATCACATAGATGTGCATTGTGTCTGTTGTCATTCAGAGCCAGTAAAAGCTTTTGTGCGTGTAAATGACAAGAAAATTTTCTTGCATTTTGTTTACATTCTCCAGGAGGCCACCGCGACGCCATTTTGAATGTTTAGATCACGTTTAATCACAAATTGTAACGAGATTTCCTTTCCAATCAAAGAAAATTATTATATTACCGGGATGACATACATAATTTACGTAGGGATTAAAATAATAGCTTACATTAAATAAATGTGCTCATTACTATTGATAGTTATACGTCATTATCTCCCTTGAATAATGCCTAGGGGGAGTCCAAACCGTAGAACTGGTGGATGTAAAACGTTCATCAAATGTTCATCCACAAAGTCAGATACTTCAGTGTTTTATATTTTAAATATGAATCTCAATATTGTATATCAAACCTTTCTCAACTGCTATAAAAACACAAATGTATGATAAATAAAAAATTATCGATACAAAATAGACCTTTATCTCTGTTTCGCCGCTAGGTGGCGTTATGGTTTCCTACTCGTGAGCGGTCACCCATTTTCAGCAAGGTAGTTTCTCGGAAGAGGCATTCCTGCAGCAGATTCAAGCTGAATGAACTGATCGACTAATTCCAAGGTTTATTGAGTTGTGATTGATCCGATTTTGTATAACGTAATCATATACGAAGCATGATTTTCTTATGTCGAAAAGTTATTCAGTGGTCCATTATCAGCTGATTATGCGCTAGTTTTCGAGCTATCGGCGATATCTTTTCTCAAGTAAAATTTAGGCAGCTTTCAGAACTGAAACAAGTGAAGGCCCTAGGCAAGAGTTCGACTAGTTTGAACCTTGTTCTGTTCGGACTGTAGACTTGTAACGCGTATTCACAAGCAGTTGAAAATGTTTCGATTTATGCAGAGATAACACGGCGACTATGTGTCTGCTTGTAATTTATTTGAATGGTTTGTAATATTCATTGAACGAGAGTGCTCTGAGATACCCCTCAGACAATTGATACCCATGCTTAAAATAATAACCCTGAACTTGTTGTCAAGATTTACCTACTGTATAGTTCCTGTCTACCCTGGCTGCAAAATTGTAGCTATCTACTGTCCTGCATTTACCACATTACATAGCTACATAACTTTCATAACCTTTATGATAACTGGCTTCCAATTATCCTAATCAGCTCTCTGTGTCCATCAATCAATTTACTGTATAAACATTGATGTTAATAAGTATATATAACTATGTTGTTTAGCACTATCCATCACTTGCTTGATAAAGGTCTTAGGATCTACACCGAATCTACACTTCTAAATCACACTGAAAGAAACTTTTATAACGTTCTATAAAAGTCTGATACTTATACTGCGCAGGCCTTCCCAAGCTCAGTCAGTGTGTAAATTAGTCGTACCTCGTTGTGTTGAACTTGTGGGGACCTGGAGAGAAGTTAAAGTTACACGGGGGTCGAGACATCACAGGTATTTCATGGTTAATTAGGATACTTGGGACTCCCATAGAGTTCGACACAACCAGGAATTCGACACATCCAAGTTCAACAAAACAGGGTTTGACTGTAGTTAATATTGTGGAAGTGTTTCTGCCCTCTTCTTCCTCAAGGACCCTTAAAGGGCCAGTATGTCGACCATTCTTAAGCATTGTTTACAGACAACAGGCAATAAGGCTCTGCTTGTCTTATTCCACAAGAGTAGTTTTTGCTCAAGTGACCATAGTGCAGGTGTAGGCTTATCATGTGACCAGAATTTTTCTCTCATTTGTAAACAAATGCTCTTATTGTGAAGTAAAAACAGAATGCAAGCCTTTGAGGACTCGTCACATATTGTTTTGGGTACTTAAATAGAAATACATCTGTGACTGTGAAATGCATGACGATATAGCTTTACACATCAAACTGACCGTATCTCTAGCTCTCCGTAGGGCTTCAATATAAGCATATGGAACCCTACAACAAATGTAAATGAAGGCTCAAGATGGAAAGATATTTTGCGCAACGCTTGGGTTGTTGGCTTTGGCTATGCAGAGCTCTATTGTTTTGGTTTGAGAATTGAATCGTACATGAACCAAAGCTATGACATCACGCTCAGAAATGATATCATCCATGATTTTAAAACACCCAGGACCCTCAAAGCAAAAAAAATATTTCGATTGAAATGTTAGGAATCTGTAAATGAGAAGGGGTCAAATTTATTGCCTCAGCCATTGTATCTAACAATCGACTCAAATTAAGAGTACATTTCCAAAGGAAATATTTGGTATACTTCAGGTAATTGGTGTAGGAACAAGGGGCAATAAAGATTTCCATGACATTCTGTAATTTGCACTCTGATGGAACTGTGCAAAATCACCATTCAACTTTTGTTGAACAGTAACAAAGTCTGAATCATAGCTGTGTTTTCGCATACAATTTCGCAGATGTGTCTACCACCAACAATTTGAAATGTAAACATGGTAAAAGGAATGCACAGCTGTCATAAACACTGATTTTTGGGCCATGCATTTACCCAAAAATATATATGTGACCCAAAAATACAACAAATGGACCCTGGAGAAATGTCTCCTTACTGTTCCCTGTTAATTATATTCTTTTTTTGGTTTAAAATTTTTCTGAAAGAATAACTTCTTTTTTTCAGGTTTAGATATCTGACCTGATGGTTACTTCACTGAAGTTTTCGGCCACCTTGGCCCAATCTGACCCTCAGAATAATGCAGTGGTCATCATTGGCCAGCCTAAAAACCTGGGTCAAATTTCTTTTGATGATGTCCGTTGCAAGTTGGAGCCAAGAGTGGATGCAGATGTAGGTATTCATATGAAAGTCCAGTGTTAAGGTTATCCCCTGAATTGAAGCAGGCCAGGATGTGCAAGAGTACATTAAATATACTATTTGAAATTGTACATCATAACATGTGCTAAACTGAGCCATGGCTGGAAAAGTCTTGTACTCTGATGTTACACATGGACCACGTAGTGGTGCCACAAGCAGTCTTATGATAGAACCACCAGTCAAAACGACCCGTGAAGACCTGGGGTAGAACAGGTCTTCAGCAACCCATGCTTGCAGTAAAAGGCGACTATGGTTGTTGTAAGAGGCCACTAATGGGATTGGTTGGTCAGACTCGCTGACTTGGTTGATACACGTCATGCTATCCTATTTGCGTGGATCAATGCTCATGATGTCAGTCACTGGATTGTTTGGTCCAGACTCGATTATTTACAGACCGCCATCATGTAGTTGGAATATTGCTGTATGCGGCGTTAACAAACAAACCAGTCAAAAGCACAAGGTATGGGATTTGCTTGAAGGTGCAGGGCTCATATGCAAAAAGCTACTTCAATGCTTTTATTATTCACCTATGAAGAGATCCCCCATTTAATAAACATACAGCTGTATTACACATTGTATAATACCAAAGCGTGTGCTTATGTACTGCAGGAACACGTTTCACTAACAAATATTGAAAACTCCCAACCTCCCTGGGTTTTTTCAATGACATTGCGTGTAGAGATGATAGATCACTGAGAGGAGCTTTTGCACACTCAATGACCCCAGCAACCCTGTTGCTAGGTTGACATCACATGGCATTGTTGAATTTTGCAGTATTATAACTCAATTAAACTAATCTGTGGATTGGGTATATATCTGCCTATTCACCCACAACATTGAAAATAATTTATAAACGGCAAGTAGTAAATAAACTACTAAACTTGCTCCCATGTAAATTGATGTAATACCATTTTTTTAAAACTCGCTTTCGCTCGTCAGATACTAGAACTATTCACTCATTTCATAAAATCAGTATTAAGGAACTTGTTTAGTATTCTATACATAACATTGCATTTGACATTCTAATGATTGGCATTTAGCTATTATGTATGTATGACTGGTCATGGAACTTGAATATGACAATTTTCTGCATTTTAACAACACAAGACGAGTATCTGTGGCTTCGAGCCTAAGATGTAGAATTATGCAAAAGCAACTGAATATCTAAAAAAATCAAGGTGGATTCCTAACAATATTAACAAAACAGTGCCGTGAAACAAGCTGCTAATTGGGATATATGTGACATACATAGTGTATCCATATTCCCTGTGAGAAACTGTATCCCTTATATACGGAAGCCTTTTAGGGCCATGGTTTTTTTTCTTTTTTTTCGATACTATTTTGAAATTTCAAGATACTTAGTTGAAATGTCAAGATACAGAAGTTGAAATTTCAAGATACCATCTTGGAATACAAGATACTATCTTGAAATTTCAACTTCTGTATCTTGAAATTTCAACTTCTGTATCTTGAAATTTCAACTTAATATCTTGACATTTCAAGATAGTATCTTGAAATTTCAACTTAGTTTCTTGAAATTTCAGCTTATGGTCTTGAAATTTCAAGATATTATCGAAAAAAACAAAAAAAACAAATGGCCCTAAAAGGCTTCCGTACTTATAGGAAAAGATATCAGTAATATGTGTCTTCCATTTCAGACGTTCAACACTGCTGTGGCGGGGCTGCATCCATCCCCGACTGACTCCTGTCCCTTGTGGCTGAACAATGCCACTGTCGCTGCCCTGCCCACCAAGTGTAGCAGGCACAACACACCCTCGCGCTGTCACTCACTGACCAAGATCGTCAAGAGTTGTCTTGTTGGGGGAGATGAATATGTTGTGGTATGTAGTCCCTTCTCCCTGCTGAATGAGTTGGATTTCACACCGCTTTGAACAGTATGCAAGTTATATCACAGCTTAATGTGGGAGAACAGCCTAAGGTGATGCAGGTCTCAGACCTTTTCCACTTTGGTGAAACCCACGAGCACGGGTATGGTGCTGACAAACCAGTAACACAATCAGGGCGAACCAGGATGCGAAACCACAATCATAGGTTTCTGATGTGCCCAAGGGAAGCAACTCTGTTTTGCCAAGATGGCTTACATATACCACAAAGTGTTTTCAATTCAACATGAAAGTTTAGGTGTCGTATGATAGCCCTAATGTACTTGGAAGCCCAACTCAGACACAATATACTGACTCCACACCAAACAGCCCTTGTTATCCCCTGACATAATGTGTGGGGATATAATCAATGCCTCCTCTGTCCGTCTGTAATCATTTCGTTGCCAGAGCGTAACTCGAAAACCGTTCGATATTTTTCAGCAAATATTGGCAGATATATCAAACAGGCCCTGAAGTAGTGCCTTTTGCTATTTGTGTATTTTTGGCATTTCTATTTTTCATGATTTCCATGGAAACAATTTGTACTTGGTCTCATAAGGGGGTGGATTTTGTTACCGGAGCACAACTAAAAACAACATTCAATATTTTTCAACAAAACTTGGCAGATATATCATACAGATCCCGAAGTGGTGCCTTTTGCATTTCAGGGTTTTGGGCATTTTTATTTTTCTCAATTTCTATGGAAAGAGTCGACTTAGTCTCAAAAAAATGTTGTTTTCTGAGCACAACTTGAAAACTGTGAAAGAACTTTCATCCAAACTTAGTACATGTATTAATCAAGGGCTGACTCTGATCATAGTGGCGTGTTTGTTCCGGGCCATAACTCTAAATCTAATTGGTATTCTTTCTTGAAACTGTGCACATACAAAGACCAGGTTGCCAAATGGTGCCGTTTGCTACTTAGGGGTATTTAGAACTTATATTTTTTCCGTTTCCATGGCAACAAGTTTGACTTTGACTCTGTTTATGGTGGTATGTACCTAAAAGAGAAATCAAAGTTCCGAATCCAAATTCCATGGTATTGTTTTGATAGCTCAATAACTACTCTTGTATACAGACAGACAGATTAGATAGAAAAAATCTTATCAAGTTGGACTTAAAGTAACTTCAGCAACCCATGCTTACCATAAAAGACGACTATTCTTGTCGTAAGAGGCGACTATAACAGGATCGGGTTGTCAGGCTCACTGACTTGGTTGATACATGTCATCTTATCCCAATTGTGTGGATCGATGCTCATGATGTCAATCACTGGATTGTCTGGTCGAGACTCAATTATTTACAGACCGCTGTCATATAGCTGGAATATTGCTGAGTGCGGCGTTAAACAAGAAACAAACAAACAAACAAACTTAAAGAAACAGTCAGATGATTTGTTCTTTCGTAATTGTAGGGGCTGGGGTGATTTGTCATCTTTTGAACATTCTTGTTTTATCCCCTTAGGGCTGAGTGAGGGCCATGGTAACAACAAGTACCATCTATTAATGTTGTTTGGTACAATAGAGCCAGGGATTGAACCACCGACCTTCCACTATATGGACAGACATTCATGGAGGAAGTTAATATTAAAAGAAAACCATTGAGGGGGTCCCTAGATTCAAATACTAAGGAAGAACACCTTAAAGACCCCAGGACACCCTTTAAGTCAGAACACTGATTTATATAATGGGTTGACGTACCTCTGCATGATTGTCAAAGCATAATGTGCTGCTTTCTACATACAGCAAACTGTAGTTAATTTCTGAACTGTAAATGGTCTACAATCAATCTCATTAAAATCAGATCTTAGTTCTCGCTACCGCTAAACAAAGATCTAAAGACATCCCATTAGGGGTCACGTCAGAACAACCTTTCATCTGACCAATCAGGGGTCGCTTACTAGATCATGAAAGTGACAGTCGGATTGTGATTTCTAATCTTGCAACCTTGAAAACTTTAACATGAGGTATTCTGAACGATAGTTACAGGCTTAACGACTGAATCCATACAATCTAGACCATCTATTAGCCATTCCAGAATGTTTTTTTGTTCAGCTTTCAAATTTTTTATCAAGAATTTGTCAAAATATGTTTTGAAGCGTTGTCGCCAATTTGAAATTAGTGCCGTAAAGCACGAGAAAGCTGTCTTTTGATTGGCTAATGTGGACTTTTTGTCAGTCATTTCATTGGTCGGTGAAAGTTCGCGCAAGGTCAGTCTGACGTGACCCGTAATGGGATTTCCTCAGATCTTTGTTTAGCGGTTTAATGAGATTGGGTCTACAATCTGAGGATGTCCTAAAAATGTATGCATCTTTTTTATTGGAACATTCATCGATTTCTAATCATGTATCAATTCTTCATTGTTTTTCCAGATTGTCTGTGAGAGAGGTGATGCCCTGGCCTCCGCAACGGCGGTGGGGCGAGCTCTGCCTCTGTACACGGCCAAGTCGAATCAGGGAGGAGGCAAACGCACTGTCAATGTGGAGTTCCTCCTTGTGGGGCAGTACAGTGACACACCTCTCAGTGACACCGACATCCAGTGTATGGCTGTTGCTGCAGAGAATGTTCGTCTTGCTGCAAAGATTGTCGATATTCCATGTGCTGAAATGCATACAGATGCCTTTCTAGATGTAAGCAGAGACTGTTAACCTTTAGTCTTCAGTTAGTTTAGGTTTGAAGGATAATATATTTACTTCTCAGAGCTCCAGATAAGCTTTTGGTGTTGTGGGTATTTTACCCATGCATTTTAAAATCACTGGGTATCAGTAATTCTATCTGGGTATTCAAATTTCTGTTACCCACTAGTTTTTACACATGTGGGTATTTAAGTTAAATATTTAAAAACACTACTCATCTAGTCCCTGCAAACTTGTGTTGTGTGGTTTCGAGAGCTTTATAGGACTAAAAAATACCACGATACTTCCACAAGAAAGTGTGATGGCAAATGATCATGATGTAACTGTCATCGTGGAGTTTGGCAAGGTTGACGGAATGCCCGTTTATAATTTCAAAATAAGTTGCTGATTTGCTTATCGAATACGCAGGGTTACTTCACAATATCTTGATGATACACACAAGTTTTATTTTTGTAGCATATCTGTAATGTTCGTTGCTTATTTGATATGCTTGGATATTATTATACTGCGTATTTCTGCATTTCTGATGCATATTTTACGCAGATACGCAGCTTATCTGGAGCTCTGCTTCTGAAGCATCCCACCCCAACATTGAAAAGGGCCATGTATTTTCAGTAAACCAAATTAAGCATTCAAGAGTCAGTTAATCTTTTATGAATTTACTAGTCTTGGACTTCATATCAAACCCTGCTTTTGAGATTCCAGTAACAGAGATGGTTGTTTTCAGGAGGTGAGAAGAGTCGGCATTGACCTTGGTATCCAACCAGTCATTATTCAGGGGGAAGAACTCCAGAAGCAGGGATTTGGAGGTATGGCAAGCAGTTCATTTGTAGGGGTGTTGCTACATGAATACAGTCCCTTGTATCCGAATATGCTTCTCTATGCTAACACTATGTTTACTAAAGACAATTGCGTGCTTAATTTAAACATTTTGAGCAAGCACTTACGGATTTATTTTCGTGAGTGAGTGAGTGAGTGAGTATGGTTTTACGCTGCTTTTAGCAATATTCCAGCAATATCATGATGGGGGACACTAGAAATGGGCTTCACACATTTTACCCATGTTGAGAATCAAACCTGGTCTTCGGCGTGATGAGTGAACCACTGGGCTACCCGACCGCCCCTGATTTATTTTAGATGCAAATAGAATGTGGTTCAGATGGCCACATGCTGCTTTGGAGTGCAGATAATGCATTGGCTGGATTGCCATCTGAAAGGCCTACTGTCATTTGGGAAATAGTCCATTATTTCCTGATGGCCTATGGTTGATCCACACACTAGTCACTGTTAGGTCTGTTCCAGAATCGACCGCCTCTGTGGTCTAGTGGTAGAGCGTCCACCCTGCTGTGTCGTACCAAAAGATGGTACTTCTTGTTACCCTGCCTGGCGCTCGTCATTAATGGACAAAAACAAAGACTGGTCGGCTTGGAGTCAGTATAGTGTGCCTGAGTGATTTATTCGATTTAAACTCTGGCATGGTACCTCAAAGGGCAAGCACTATAAAATATCTCTTACACATGCACTCACATTGCTAGATCATGTATATAAGTGAAGTTATCTTGAACTTGATGACGTTAAATGAGAGAGAGAGAGATATGCAATAAACCTAAAATATTTGGCTTCTAATGGGAAGCATTAACCATGTTTTCTAGGCCAAATAGAAACACTTCTCAACATACCCACAAAGTTTGAAATTCTACTATCCCTCTGATGACATGAGACAACATGGATAAAGTGAACATGCTAGTGTGTAGCCAGCTTGATTTAGCTATGCAAAACATGCATGCAACCTGTTATTGAAAAAGGCACCCAAATATTTATCTCTACAGGAACCAAGTGTTTGTCAAATCTTTCAAACTTTGTGTCGAAACCTGACATTGTGTCCACACAACACCAATCTTTGAGCACATTCAATACCTCTAGTCTTTATTGCCATATTATATCAATATTCCCTATGTTACTGTTGTATATAATTTGTCATGCCTTCTTAGGCTTGAGATGTCCCCATGGTCTAGTTGTAGAGTGTCCGCCCGGAGAGCGGAAGGTACGGGGTTCGATCCCTGGCCACGTCATACCAAAAGACATTAAAAGATGGTACTTGTTGTTACCCTGGCTGGCATTCGGCATTAAGGAGCTAAAACAAGGACTGGTAGGCTTGGAGTCAGATTACTCTGTCTGAGTGGGGTGTTCAGTCTGAACGAGTACAAGCAGCCACACACACACTCACACACTTGCATGCAGGTCGCTATATAAGTCTTGGACGCGACATCAAACCCCATTTTCACCTCACCTCACCTCTTGGGCTTGAAGTCTAACTGTGGATACTTATGTGTCATGCACCTGTTGCAAGTTGAATCAAATTCTTAAATCTAGCAAGCAAGTAGCTACCTTGTGGCAAGGTGCTTGTTTCTGAGTCTGACAATGTTCCCTTTTACTCTGTTCAGGTATATATGGTGTAGGCATGGCTGCGATCCACCAGCCAGCTCTTGCTGTTCTAAGTCACAAACCTTCCGGGGCCACAAAAAGCATTGCATGGGTGGGAAAAGGTATTGTCTACGACACTGGTGGCCTCTGCATCAAGTCAAAGGTAAGCAGCAATGGTGACTAATGGAACAACACTTTCTTTTGTGTATTTACTATGAGGTATCCCTTGATGTTTGTTTGTTGTTTAACTCCACTATCAGCAATATTCTAGCTATATGATGGCGGTCTGTATATAATCAAGTCTGTACCATGCAATCAAGTGATTGACAGCATGAGCATCGATCCACGCAATTGGGATACGATGATATGCATCTACCGAGTCAGTGAGCCTGACCATCCGATCCCATTGGTCAACAACCATAGTCGCTTTTTACAGCAAGCATGGGTTGTATCCTTACAGGGAGAGACCCGTGAAGAGTCGAGGTAGAATAGGTCTCCAGAGTGCGTATTATACGTAAATAAATAAGTCTTGCGTACATTGCTTAATCAGAAGGGGTGCTAATTGGGATTGTTCACTAGTCAATATATTAGCAAATATTGCCGTGGGCGCTTATTAGAGCGGGGCCCTTATTAAGTCGAATACGGTATTTTGGTTCTCAGGCACCTCCTGCATCATCATAAAGTCTGCCGCATGTTTCGTTTTTTCTTCCATTTAAAAAAAATAAAAAATGTTTTAAATATTCCGCGTCTTGAACACACAACCCTGGCTGTGAAATGCTACAATACGTAAGAACAACATGATTTCCCCAGAGTTATTATTAACAAAATTTGGTTACATTCCTGCTTGGAACACAGGACCGCCTCCGTGGTCTAGTGGTAGAGCGTCCGCCCGGAGAGCGGAAGGTCCGGAGTTCGATCCCCGACCGCGTCATACCAAAAGACGTTAAAAGATGGTACTTGTTGTTACCCTGTCTGGCGCTCGGCATTAAGGGGCTAAAACAAGGACTGGTCGGCTCGGAATCAGCATAATGTGTCTGAGTGGGGTATTCATGTTAAACTGCGGCATGGTATCTCTGAGCTAGCACTATAAATCGGCATCAGTCCGGTCTAGTACAAGCAGACATACACACACATGTGCATGCACATCGCTATATAAGTGCAATAACCTTGGACGTGACGTTAAACCCCATTTCACCTCACCTGCTTGGAACAACCAAACCAAAAAAAACACTGCCCGACCGCACAATTTTCAAAAGCCATTGCTGAGAACCAATTATATTATTTTTTTAAGCCTTATCAGCTTTTTTTTTCTTTTGTTGTAACTTGTATCAAAAGTAGAATGTATTCACACGCTTCTAGTCTGAAATAGTGGACTGTGATGCTGTATTGTGACATCAGTGTATTGTTTCAGTCCTTGTCTTCATTGCATATCTTGTTCTTCATTGTCAGCTATCAACTAACATGGACTTCTGATTTATGATTTTCTATTTGTGGTGTTTGCCCACCTGTTGACTGTTATTCTGCTGTTTGACAGACCGGCATGTGTGGGATGAAGCGAGACTGCGGAGGAGCAGCAGGGATCCTGGCAGCTTTCCACACTGCTGTCAAACTGGTGAGAGGAGACCGTCACACTCATCTGTTCTGACATTGATGTCCCCTTGATTGAAAACTTGCACCGGAAACTACATCATAAGTCATTTATATAAATGAGGAGAGTGAAAAAAGAATGACTGGATATGTACACGATGTAGGATGTCGTAAAATCTTCTGATTGGAATTTTTGCATGATCAGATGGGTTGCCTTGTGGTTTAATGCTGCCGCTCATCATGCCGAAGACCCGGGTTCGATTCCCTACATGGGTACAATGTGTGAAGCCCATATCTGGTGTTCCCCGTCGTGATATTGCTGGAACATTGCTAAAAGCGGCTTAAACAATACTCACTCACTCACTCACTCACTCACTCACTCACTTACTAAAAGGCCATTGTCTCAATATTTACATGGGTCACACAGGCTGCTGTCTCGGTCTTAAGACTGTAATATTGCTGACAAAAATGTAAATGATAATTGCCTCACTCACTGTAGTCTATGCACAAACTGGTGTTTCAGGGATTCCGAGAAAATCTTCATGCTGTGTTGTGCCTGGCTGAGAATGCTGTGGGACCAACGGCACAGAGACCTGATGATATAGTAACCATGTATTCAGGAAGGTAGGTTCCCAGATCTAATGATAAACATAGAGAAAGCATGTTGTCTTTATACTAAATATACATGATACTAAACAGAAGTCAAATTTTCTTTGTAATTATCAGGATCACTGATTGTTTGCACAGCGTAACTAAAACTTTCATGTACAATATTATTAGGGCTGGGACAATACACCAACTGTGTGATCCAATAAAGATCACAATACCTTGCTCACGATCCGATATGTTTCACGATACTTGCCAGTGCTCTCGTCTGTGGTGTGTAAGCCATCTTTTTCATAGACAGGATGACCAAATACCTGGCTAACAATTTACAGTTGGCATTGTCAAATATGGCAGAATGGATGAAAATATTTACGTTTTCATTACTCATTTTCACTAGTAATTAGTGTTTACTCTAACATTTTTTAAAGAAAACATTTAAGAATCGATACTTTTTACTTAGTGTGTGATTGTGATCGATACTTGTATCGAGATGGAAAAAAATCACAATCCACCGATGCATCGGTATTGTCCCACTACTAATTATTAAACTATGCCACCATTATCCCGATGGGTCATCAATGGTGTTTAACAGCAATGTTCCTGTTTACAGAACTGTAGAACTGAACAACACAGATGCAGAAGGGAGACTGGTGTTGGGAGATGGTGTAAGTTAATGCCATTTGTCTATCCCTGATACTTAAATTTGGACGTTCACTTATTTAGAAGAGCATATGTTGAGAATTTTAAACATATCTATTTGATCAGCTTGCTGTTTCCAAATATTCTGCCGACATTAAGAGTAGTTGTGAGGATAGGACATGTTTCTGAAGGGTTGGCTTTTTGATTGAATTCTGAGGCAAGCTTAGATTACAGATCAGACCTTTTAACATGATATGATACCTCTGTGTGAAGTGGGAAAGTTCACTGACGCAAACTCCTTTCAAGCATTTATCACATCATTATGCGGAGTGGTATGACATTACAGTAACGGTCTTTATTTAGAGCATTTGATTTAGTGTACTCACAATTGGCCCTACCGTTGGAAACTACTTACCTTTTGATTGTTAAACAACTGAAGAGATACACCCTACATCGTATCCTCCCAAGGGATTTGGGACTGCATTAACTCACTCACTCTCTTCTATGGTGATAATAAAGCAATCATTTTGAAGCTGGCCACATTGATAGCTTGCTAATTTCACACAAAATAAGATATCATGGTGAGCATAAGGGTCTCCCACTATTTGACTGCTCCAGGTTTTACTACCAATCCTGACCTGTGAAGATCCGGGGAAGAATAGGTCTTCAACAACCCATTCTTGCCGTAAAAGGCGACTATGCTTTTTGTAAGAGGTGACTGAAGGGATCGGGTGGTCAGGCTCGCTGACCTGGTTAATGCATGTCATTGTGTCCCAATTACGTGGATCGATCCTCATGATGTCAATCACTGGATTGTGTGGTCCAGACTCGATTATTTACAGACCGCTGTCATATAGCTGGAATATTGCTGAGTGCGGCGTTAAACAACGAACAAACAAACAAACTTCAGATCCTGCGGTGTACAGTAGATCTCTGTCTTCCAGGTTGCTTATGCCCAGAAGGACCTGAAAGCTGATGTCATCGTGGACATGGCAACACTTACTGGGGCCCAATCAGTTGCAACAGGTCAGTAAAGCACTCGGCAACTAACATACTTATCAGCTCATGTAATCTTGTGTCGTTATAAGTTGTTCGTTGTTGTCTACCATTAAGTTTTTACATTTTTTACTTCGTCTGAGCTGCCGTCATATAGCGAGAATATTGCTTAGTGCCGCGTTAAACATTAACCAAACAAACTTCTTCTGTGACCTTGTGTAGTACCAAGTTAGTTCAAGACATCTTGATCGGAAATCAAATACGGCTGCCAGTGGCCGAAAATATTTGAATAGCAATGCTGACTGCAATTGTATTTAAGTGGCTATCTTTTTTCTAGTTTATGCTTTTTGAATAATAATGATAATGATAACGATAATAATACTAATACTAATGAACGTTTGTAATGCACCCCAAATGCATGCTCAATTCTGTGTTTGTATTTTCATTTTAGGTCGTTACCATGCAAGTATTGTGACAAACAGCGAGGACATGGAACTTGCCTGTGTGAAGGCTGGTCAGAACAGTGGTGACCTGGTTCACCCCATGCCATACTGCCCAGAGCTACACTTCAGTGAATTTGCTAGTGCCCTGGCTGATATGAAGAACTCTGTCGCTGTTAGTAGTGTTTGCCTACAGTACATTTCTGATGAGAAGCGTATACCTGTTCACTAATATGTATATGTATGCCTTGTATTCCTGGGTTAGAAACCCATATGATTATCGTAATAGGCGGCAAACAGGTTCTGGTGGTCAGGGTCGCTGACTTGGATGATGCATGTCATTGTATCCCGAATGTGTAGATCAATGCTCGTGATGTCAATCACTGGCTTGTCTGGTCCAGACTCAAGTGTTTACAGACTGTGTCATATAGCTGAAATATGGCTGAGTGCAGCATTCAACAACGAACAAACCAACAAACAAACACTAATATATCTCAATGGATAGAGCCTACACTGAAGTAAAGAAAGGCATGTGCACTTTCAAGACCATGATTATGGTATCTTCAGCTGTGACTCATGCAGTCTATGGATTGTGACCCCTGACTGTCGACGACAGTGCTTCAAGAAAATCCAGCCTATGGATATAATGAATATAATCCTGTACTATGGTAAAGTACATTCTCTATATTAGTCATATGTTTGTCAACCATTTTACCATCACCATAATGATTTTGTTGCAGGATCGTAACAATGCCCAGGTGTCATGTGCGGGACTGTTTATTGGCTCCCACCTTGGCTTTGACTACTCTGGTGTGTGGCTTCACATTGACATGGCAGCGCCAGTGCATGTGGTGAGTTATCTTCCCTTGTCAGTTTGCTTTATGGAGAACACCTGGTTACATTCAGGAACTGGAAGACATTGGTATGAGTAGATCTGTTCTTGGTTTTTTCAACAACGATGTACTTGGTATTGTGGTGTTATGTGTACCCCATTCAGTGGGGATCTAAGTTAAAATAGGTTCCCATGGTTGATCGAAGCAGCCTTATTGATCGGGTGTCAGGCTAAATGTCTTGGGTGACTGTGTGTCCTTGTACCCCGATGACATGAGAGATTGCTCATAATATCAGTCACTGGATTGGTTGCTCTACTTGAATATTCACAGGCCACTGTCATAGCTGGAATATAGCAGAGTGTGGCATAAAAACAAACACTCCAGAGAAAAGGTATAGGTCTGAAGTTGACAAATCATTGGCCCCAGTGACATTGCTGGAAAATTTGTAAAAGTATTGTTCAGCAGGTTCAGCCTTACTCACTCTATTTTGGGGCAGTCTGGTAACCTAGTGGTTAAAGCGTTTCTCGTCACGCCGAAGACCTGGGTTCGATTCCTGACATGGGTACAACATGTACAAGGTGTGAAGCCCAATTCTGGTGTCCACCGCCGTGATATTGCTGGAATATTGCTAAAAGCTGCGTAAATCCATACTCACTCACTCTATTTTCATTGTGCAGGGCGAGAGGGCAACAGGATACGGAGTTAGTCTACTCACGACTCTATTTGGAGAGTTGTCAACCAATTCCATGCTCAAGTTTATAGCCCCATCAGTGAACTGTAGCATGGAAACAGATGAGAACAATTCCCCAAAGAAACAGCGTCTCCAATAAGAACCTATGTTGCCATTTAATAAATGGACATCAACTGGACAAATTCCCCAATGCTGATTTGTTAATTTTTGTCCTTGCACTTAAGATTTGTGAATGGATTATCATGAGTTTGGATACAAATACAAATTTTAGCATGTAAGCAATTATAGGCCTTGATTTTTATAGGAATTTTTATTGTAAAGAGCAGGATAGATTTTATGGGATATGTTAGTTATGATTTTTAATTTTCATACCAGAATGGATCAGTTGTTTTATAATAGTTGTCCTGAAGTATTTACAAGTTACAGTTAATGAGTTTATACCCAAGGTCATATTTGTCTATGTGATGATTATGTGTTTTTGTTGGTAACTTTTATTTTATTTTATTCTCTTTTTTTTATGAATCAAACATGTTTGACTGGTTTGAAGTAAGGTGAAGAGACCCATTGCACTATATTGCATGGCTACCGCATGTTATATGCCATGTTGCCATCAATGTCAGTGTTAGAAAATACATGGGTGTCCTTGAGGTTGCATACAGTGCTCATTAAACTTTGGAAGCATAAAACCTAACATTTAACATAGGACCATGACAAGGACTCCTTGATTTTTAGCTCCAGGTGTAAGAGATACTATTCTGAACCAGAAATGCCATATACGTTATTTCAGCAGTTTTCAGTTTTGGCATATAATTACCTAAAAGTTTCATCTCCGTACCTAGTGGATGGCCCAGAGGGACATAGATATGTCAGGATGCAGGGTTATCTGGCTGATATTCCAGATCCAGCACAATTAGGAACAGTCGTCTTGTCAGCAATATCCCCATGCCTGCGGGTCCAAAGCTGCAAATGTCGAGCAATTCTTTCTGCCCATATTAAGCTGACATGAATGTAAAATATCTGAGATATTGTACAGTGTAGTGTTAAAACCAAATCACTTACTATAAGTGTCATGAATGAAAATGATTGGAAGTTTTTCAACACATATACCATTTATTTGAGGATCACATTTCTTTCTATGAAACTATGTGATCAATGTCTGAATGATGTATCATTTGTGTTGGCAAGCAATTAGTCCATAGAATTGCTTAGTATTTGAAGGTGTAACATGTTTTTCAGGGACTAGATCCACTTACAGGCTGATACAACTCAGTAAATATTTAGAGGTCTGCTTGTAGACAACGTAGCCATGATACACACCAATAATTTTGTAAGGGATCTGTGGTCAGACTGATTATTGTCCGGCCATTCTGACTTATCCTTTCAGTACGTCTGTACAATATTCCTTTGCAAGATCAGTTCATCACCACACAAAAAGACTTAAAATTTGCTTACTGTCTATATTGGTTTACAATGTCACTATTACTTAGATATGTACTACTTTAAAAAGGACCACTGGATTCTTTCATATTACTATAGTTAATCTGTTATGCCATGACATATATACTATAGTAATCTGAAGTATCAGGTTGTCCTTAACTTTTTTTTAGTATTATACATGGTAGAGGCACGGCGCCTCGGGCACATCTTTCCATTACTTATATTGACAACATGCATGCAAGATGTTGACAATTGTAAAATGTATGTTTCCGTGTTTGACTACATCTGTGATTCTTGTGTTTTAGTGATGGGGCTCTTTTGCCACACCGTTATGAATACTTACGTTGATGTATGAGTGATATATTGAGGTCATATGTTCAAAGAAATATAATCGTGTAAAATTTTAAACCAAGGAAAATGTTTTTGTATAATGACCACTATTTTTAGTTATTTAATTGAATAAAATATATTATGCATTATTTGCCTCTATCGTTTTTTAAAATGGAGTCATCTGAAGTGGGAGGCATTGTTAAGAAAGTAATGGATTATCTTGAGTAGGGTAAGAGACTGTTTCAGTGTCTTTTGCTTGACCATTCAGATCACCATAATGTTGAGTGGACTTGCTCAAGGTGACAGTAGGCTTTTTGCTTACAAAAGACGGTTTACACTATTAGTCCATCAGCTATATATGTGTGGAGGGGCGGTCGGGTAGCCTAGTGGTTAAAGCGTTCGCTCATCACGCCGAAGACCCAGGTTCGATTCCCGTCATAGGTACAATGTGTGAAGCCTATTTCTGGTGTCCCCTGCCGTGATATTGCTGGAATATTGCTAAAAGCGGCGTAAAACCATACTCACTCACTCATATATGTGTGGAAGGCAATTAGCCTTTATCCATCAACCAGCCATATATGAAATGAAGACTGTTCATCTGTCTACCAGCTATGTATGTACAGAAGGCAGTACACTGTGCCAGCGGAAAAAAGTACAAGTAATATGCTTCATACTGTAAATCTGGAAAGTTGTGCAGGCAGGAAGGTACTGCAAAAGCTGCCAGTGACATTCTCACAATTGTTTCATGACTAAGTAAGTTGAATAAAAATAACTTCATTCTAAATTTAAATAATGCATCTTTCAATACATATTCTTGAAGACATCTTTCACAATTTGAATGTTTGTGTGTTTGTTGGGAGCATGATACTTTTTTTTAATGTGAACAACACAAAATGATGGTTTAGCTATCAAGTGCTCATGAAAACACCTATGTTGAACCGTAAAGAAAGCTTACGCAATGCCATGAGTTGCTGAGAATCGACGTCTCCACGCTGTGGTTTGCTGCAAACAGGAATGGCCCAAAACGAAGTTGACGGACATTTTAATGTTCACCGAAAGACAATATCATCTCTTTGGGGACGTTATCTGGAGCAGGGCAACACTTATCACTTGCAAGACAACCATTTTCAGTTAGTGCATCTACAGAATCAATACCAAACTGCCACATTAACAGCTCAGACCATTCTTGGGTTGAGACCAATTAGTGGCAGAAGCGAACGCAACTGGTTGAGGGGGCACAAATTTCGTTTCAAGTTCGCTTCTACGTCACCATCAGGCACGCCTAGCTTGGTAAAGACAGCATCAGAGGTTCTGAAGACAAGACAAGGGCAGTATACTGTTCACTCTTGCAGGAGGATAATGCCTGCCCAGAAGTTGCACCTGTTGTAACAGACTTGTTGAGGCAGCATAACATTGCTGTAGTACTACCGTGACTGGCTGTTTGTCCAGACCTCTCCCAGATTGAACATGTCTGGAATGAGATTGAGAGACGCCTACGATAGGACCAGAACCAGCCTGTACACCCGATATACATATATCAGCTATATGTGTAGAAGGCAGTACACCCTATATACATGTATCAGCCATACATGAAGAATGCAGTACACCCTATATACATGTATCAGCCATATATGTAGAAGGCAGTACACCCTATATACATGTACCAGCCATGTATGAAGAAGGCAGTACATCCTATGTACATGTATCAGCCATATATGAAGAAGGCAGTACACCCTATATACATGTACCAGCCATATATGTAGAAGGCAGTACACCCTATATACATGTATCAGCCATATATGAAGAAGGCAGTACACCTTATAAACATGTACCAGCCATATATGAAGAAGGCAGTACATCCTATATACATGTACCAGCCATATATGTAGAAGGCAGTACACCCTATATACATGTATCAGCCATATATGTAGAAGGCAGTACACCCTATATACATGTATCAGCCATATATGAAGAAGGCAGTACATCCTATATCCATGTACCAGCCATATATGTAGAAGGCAGTACAACCTATATACATGTATCAGCCATATATGTAGAAGGCAGTACACCCTGTATACATGTATCAGCCATATATGTAGAAGGCAGTACACCCTATATACATGTATCAGCCATATGTGAAGAAGGCAGTACACCCTATATACATGTATCAGCCATATATGTAGAAGGCAGTACACCCTATATACATGTATCAGCCATATGTGTAGAAGTCAGTACACCCTATATACATGTATCAGCCATATATGAAGAAGGCAGTACATCCTATATCCATGTACCAGCCATATATGTAGAAGGCAGTACAACCTATATACATGTATCAGCCATATATGTAGAAGGCAGTACACCCTGTATACATGTATCAGCCATATATGTAGAAGGCAGTACACCCTATATACATGTATCAGCTATATGTGAAGAAGGCAGTACACCCTATATACATGTATCAGCCATATATGTAGAAGGCAGTACACCATATATACATGTATCAGCCATATGTGTAGAAGTCAGTACATCCTATATAATGTATCAGCCATATATGAAGAAGGCAGTACACCCTGTATACATGTATCAGCCATATGTGAAGAAGGCAGTACACCCTATATACATGTACCAGCCATATATGTAGAAGGCAGTACACCCTATATACATGTATCAGCCATATATGAAGAAGGCAGTACACCCTATATACATGTATCAGCCATATATGAAGAAGGCAGTACACCCTATATACATGTATCAGCCATATGTGAAGAAGGCAGTACACCCTATATACATGTACCAGCCATATATGTAGAAGGCAGTACACCCTATATACATGTATCAGCCATATATGAAGAAGGCAGTACACCCTATATACATGTATCAGCCATATATGAAGAAGGCAGTACACCCTATATACATGTATCAGCCATATATGTAGAAGGCAGTACACCCTGTATACATGTATCAGCCATATATGAAGAAGGCAGTACAACCTATATCCATGTACCAGCCATATATGAAGAAGGCAGTACACCCTGTATACATGTATCAGCCATATATGTAGAAGGCAGTACACCCTATATACATGTATCAGCTATATGTGTAGAAGGCAGTACACCCTATATACATGTATCAGCCATATATGTAGAAGGCAGTACACCCTGTATACATGTATCAGCCATATGTGAAGAAGGCAGTACACCCTGTATACATGTATCAGCCATATATGTAGAAGGCAGTACACCCTATATACATGTATCAGCCATATATGAAGAAGGCAGTACACCCTATATACATGTATCAGCCATATGTGAAGAAGGCAGTACACCCTGTATACATGTATCAGCCATATATGTAGAAGGCAGTACACCCTGTATACATGTATCAGCCATATATGTAGAAGGCAGTACACCCTATATACATGTATCAGCCATATATGTAGAAGGCAGTACATCCTATATAATGTATCAGCCATATATGAAGAAGGCAGTACACCCTATATACATGTATCAGCTATATGTGAAGAAGGCAGTACACCCTATATACATGTATCAGCCATATATGTAGAAGGCAGTACACCCTATATACATGTATCAGCTATATGTGAAGAAGGCAGTACACCCTATATACATGTATCAGCCATATATGTAGAAGGCAGTACACCCTATATACATGTATCAGCCATATATGTAGAAGGCAGTACACCATATATACATGTATCAGCTATATGTGAAGAAGGCAGTACACCCTATATACATGTACCAGCCATATATGTAGAAGGCAGTACACCCTATATACATGCATCAGATATATGTGAAGAAGGCAGTACACCCTATATATACATGTACCAGCCATATATGTAGAAGGCAGTACACCCTATATACATGCATCAGATATATGTGAAGAAGGCAGTACACCCTATATACATGTACCAGCCATATATGTAGAAGGCAGTACACCCTGTATACATGTATCAGCCATATATGTAGAAGGCAGTACACCCTATATACATGTATCAGCCATATATGTAGAAGGCAGTACATCCTATATAATGTATCAGCCATATATGAAGAAGGCAGTACACCCTATATACATGTATCAGCTATATGTGAAGAAGGCAGTACACCCTATATACATGTATCAGCCATATATGTAGAAGGCAGTACACCCTATATACATGTATCAGCTATATGTGAAGAAGGCAGTACACCCTATATACATGTATCAGCCATATATGTAGAAGGCAGTACACCCTATATACATGTATCAGCCATATATGTAGAAGGCAGTACACCATATATACATGTATCAGCTATATGTGAAGAAGGCAGTACACCCTATATACATGTACCAGCCATATATGTAGAAGGCAGTACACCCTATATACATGCATCAGATATATGTGAAGAAGGCAGTACACCCTATATATACATGTACCAGCCATATATGTAGAAGGCAGTACACCCTATATACATGCATCAGATATATGTGAAGAAGGCAGTACACCCTATATACATGTACCAGCCATATATGTAGAAGGCAGTACACCCTATATACATGCATCAGATATATGTGAAGAAGGCAGTACACCCTATATACATGTACCAGCCATATATGTAGAAGGCAGTACACCCTATATACATGTACCAGCCATATATGTAGAAGGCAGTACGCCCTATATACATGTATCAGCCATATATGAAGAAGGCAGTACACCCTATATACATGTACCAGCCATATATGTAGAAGGCAGTACACCCTATATACATGTACCAGCCATATATGTAGAAGGCAGTACACCCTATAAACATGCATCAGATATATATGTAGAGGGCAGTACACCCTATATACATGCATCAGATATTTGTGAAGAAGGCAGTACACCCTATATACATGTCTATTATCCCGAGGCCAATAATACTTGGGGGCTGCCCATTGACGGTTGAATTCAGTACTGCCCTGGAATGTGACCGAGAAAGTCCTAAACTGTATCACTTCTGTTTATTGTTTCCACAAATAAACATAAAATGGCTACACAAAGGTAGCTGATAAATAACCATTTCTGCGTAAAATCACTCGTTAATCAGGTGGTTTTCTTCTTGGATTCATATCCATCCTAGAATAATGTAGATGTCAAAGACTATCTGTGTTCCTGCAGTGAAATTGTTTCTTTGTACTATATATACATTGGGAAATGTTTCTCATGTAACAGTTTTTACTAGGACATTTTTTTCTAAGATACTTTTACACTGGCAACATTTGTTCCGGGTGGAACTAATTCCATGTGGAACTGTTTATACTTGACATCGACACCGATGTCCTTAAATTGACGGCACAAGTAAGATGGGATTAACGCCGCTTTGAACAGTGTTTCAGTTGTACACGGAACGTTATCTTGACGTGGGAGAAAAGCCGAAGTGTCGCAGGTCACATACCTCTTCCACTTAGATAAAAGGAGCACGAGTAGGATGCTGACAGATCAAGGATCATAACCCCTGCAAATATGGGATACGAATCCATGACCTGCGGATCCTGACACGGATGAAGGGCGCAACTATGACACTGCGGAACGCTGAGTCATTCGTACTGAGGAATTTGGACCCGTTACCCATTCTTAACGGGAGAGACCCGTCAAGATTCCGGGGTAGAATAGGTCTTCAGCAACCCATGCTTGCCGTAAAAGGTGACTGTGCTTGTCGTAAAAGGCGACTAACGGGATCGGGTGGTCAGGCTCGCTGACTTGGTTGATGCATGTCATCGATCCCAATTGGGTGGATCGATGCTCATGATATCAATCACTGGATTGTCTGGTCCAGACTCGATTATTAACAGACCGCCGTCATATAGCTGGAATATTGCTGAGTGCGGCGTTAAACATCAAACCAACCAACTTAACGGGTGATACCAATGTGTGATCTGGCTGATTGTGTTTTTCCGTATCCCAACGGCGTGGGACGATGATCATACTATGTACCACTGGTTCTCTGGTCAGCATGCAGCCTTGCGCAAGATGTATTTGTGTACAGATCAGATGAATATCGCGTTACATTTGATCTTCATTCTTTCCCCAGGTCTGAATATAATTAATAATAAAAAAAGTCATGGAGGACATCATAAACTTGTAAAAATAATTTATTTCGTAAAATACAACAGTGAGCTGTAGAGTCTGATATATAACCCTGTATCACACAGTTAAGGCCCAAAGAAATATTCCTGGTTCTCAGCCATTGTCCACATAAGTAAAATACCTTTATTAGCTATATACTTATGTTTTTGAGACAACGAATGAAAAACAAATGCACCATTCAATACTCACTGCATGGCAACCAAGTGTTTCTATTTTCAGCCTTTTACATACAGTAAACAACGTTTATAACGAACACTCTTAAAACGAACTGTTAGTATCGTCCAAGTCATCTGCTGTATATATTCTGTAGAGATGTTTATTACCAACTACGGTTATAACGCACTAAAATTAGTGGTCCCTTTCAGTTCGTTATAACCGTTTACCGCATTGTATAACGGCAGAGACTGACATACGTTACCACTATATTGCATAATATCGGACATGATCCATTTTGTGCTAAACTTTATATTGCGTTTGGGGAAAAACCATAATCAAACGTTGAAATTTGGAACAAGTAACACGATTCAACCACCGTTGTTGAGATAATACATACGACACACATCACCTTTCTGAATTGGTAATTTTGAAATCAAGTTTGAAGTAAATAACAAAAATTGATTTTGTTTCGCCATTTTGATTGTTTGTTCTGCAGTTGGAAACATGGTGAGCTGTATATATCGGACTACATCGTGGGTTAATGAAACGGCACATGATGAACCGATAGAAAATACATTTTGACATGACATTCGAGAACAACTGCTGCATTAAAAAAGTAGGTATCTGTAATCTGAATAAATGGTATTGCTATTAGAATATAAATAAATAGAAACAAAACATGGGTAAAACCGTATCAATAAATGTTAATTCATAACATTTGTGAATTGCACACATCAGAATATCGTAATAATCAGAATAACGGCGCTGTACATGAACTCATTGAACTTGACCTTGAGTCAGACGCTGAGAATCCGAGATAAGACTGCGTGACGGAAGTGACCCCCTTAAAGACAATCGGTGCTTTCTTCCTGTTAGCCCCTGGCTGCAATTTTGACTTTAGCATCCATGGAATACAAAGGGAATGCATCATTATGGAATAAATCTTTGACGTTATACAACACCGTTTCAAATACAGATAATCAGATGTTCAAAGGTGCTGTGATCATGAAGAAATAAAACACTTTCTTTGATCTTCAACAAACATTTTGATTTTGTTCGTTCCTGTCATTCCCTTTGTCCCACAGTTTTAACTTATCTTTTGTACATATTTGGAACCCAAAGCAAATAGTAGGACACCGCGGCTACACATTCTTGTGCAGCCTACAGAATGGGCACAATGAAGTGAGTAAATAGCTGTGATGAGGAAATTGCTGAAAGTCAAAACCTTTATTTAGCTGAAAGTTGACAGATGGCGTTGAAAGTTTGTGCGCATCATTGGTAACGAGGGGAATGATCAGATATGAGTTGCCCAGGGTTGGTTTGGGTAAAACGTCGCTTGACGTTTGTCGCTTTGTCAGCCTGATGTGATGCAGGTATTAGACGTTTATCACTTTGGTGAAACCCACGAGCAATATTGTGGCGCTAACAAACCCAGAACAATAATCGGGTCGAATCATGTCTCCGAACCCACGATCCTAGGTTTCTGGCATGCGTACTGCCATGGCCGCAACTCTGCACAGCGAATTGTGCCGCCTTTGATTTAGATTGGGCCATCCGTGCCCCTGATGTTTGTTTGTTACTTTGTTGTTTTAGGCCGCACTCAGCAATATTCCAGCTATATGAGGGCGGTCTGTAAATAATCGAGTCTGGCCAGACAATCCAGTGATTGACATCATGAGCATCGATAAACGCAATAGGGATACGATGACATGCATCAACCAAGTCAGCGAGCTTTCATCTATTAAAAATAAAGATTCATACCATTCGTCATCCATCCATAGTACTTTGGCATAGTTTTCAAGCCATATCTGATGTAGTTAATGGTGTATGTGTGAATTTTTTGTGAATCAATACCATTGTGGTTGTAAGAGGTTACAGTTCACTGTAACAGCAGCCCTCTGCATCTTCCGGGTCATGTCTGAACACATGATGTGATTGCATGAAGGTGAAGGTGATCTTCGTGTAAATATTGCAATGTCAAAATAGCTCAAAATTGCACGATGGTGATAATCCTTCTTCTCCTTGGTTATACAAAGTAACATTACAAACTGTATACGAAAATTAAATCTACAAGTTAATCTGGGTTTACAATACAACACAAAGTAGTTTGTAGGAAGGCACTTCAGTGATGTGTAGCATTCACACAACGTTTGAAACCACATTACTTCACAAAAGTGAAAATATTACAGAAATTTTTTAAGAGAAAATGAAAGTGAATCTTGAGAGTTTAAGATGTGGAGAAGTGGATCCAGATGCGGCCTCTTCAAAAACTGTCCCCCAATTCTCGATTCCGTTGCCACAGAACACATATTCCCAGAATCATCAGAGCACAGAAGGACAACTATCAAAGACGTTGCACCATTCCAGTCCTTTAAGATCTCTACTCATAATCCACAGTTTCAACCCTGGTGATTCACGTTTAAGATAGTCAGCACTGTTCAACTGCACAACGGACTAAGTTCTTTGTCATCATTTGCCGGTTCCATAGTTGGCGCCACCTGCTTTCTTCACCTCGTCCGTGATATACTCTATTTTGATTTCATCCTGTTCTGACGTCATGATCTCCACGGCAAAGTTCTGGAATGAGATCGGATGTTTATAAATGATTAAGTGAGTGAGTTGATTGTAACGGCGTTCTGGGCAGTATTTCAGTTGCATCACGGCGTGTTTGCAAGCCCAAAGAGAGAGGTCTTACACGTTTATCAGCTTTCGTGGTTAAAGCGTTCGCTCATCACGCCGAAGAACCGGGTTCGATTCCCGTACAATGTGTGAAGCTCATTTCTGGTGTCACCCGCCGTGATATTGCTGGAATATTGCTAAAAGCGGCGTAAAGCCATACTCATTCACTCACTTAAACGTATATATATCACTTTGATAGAACCCACCAGCACGGGTATAATCCCGCCCCTGGCACACCAGGAATCACAATGGGTGCGGATTGCACGGTTAATTTAAGGGACGCAACTCCGTATAGCGAGTTGCAACGCCTTAGGCTTCTTTGCATGTCACCTAGCTTTTATGTCATGCATAACACAAAGTATCAGTTTATTGTATAACGACGCACTCGGCAATATTCCAGCTCTAAGGCGGCACATTACGTGACTCTTGATATGTAAACACGATGGACCTTCACTTGCTCGTTTCAGAAACATTCAGGCAAACATTAATTTGTAAGACAAGGTGTGTGTGTGTGCGTGTGCGTGTGCGTGTGCGTGTGTGAGTGACAACTGATGAGGCCTTAACATTTGTAAGAAACTAATAATATTTACGATTGGAAGATAGTCGCAATAAATAACATAAGGCAAAGCGAATCACCTTGTTTTGTTTTGCCTGGCCGGGACTTACTTCTGGCCGTTTACCTGTGTTAGGTTCCTGCACGTCCATGTATGTATACTGGCCCGTTTTATGCATTAACGTTCCAAAATAAGTATTATTATTCAATCGATTGGCGAAAACAAAGAACATGCTTACGTATTTGGTTATGATCTTCCTCATTTTAAACAAATATCTTTCCATTACAATGCCTTGGCTTATCTGATAAGATTATGTCATGAGCTACAATGCACTACGTGGGTATTTTCCTATAGATGTGTTGAACACTAGGGTAACCAGGAAACCTGACCTTATATTTGACAGTATATTCCCGAAATAATGTGCTTGTATATGCAGTGTAAAGTAGCGCATCGCGTTTTACAGAGCGATAAGCGTTCACTGCTCCGCCTTTAGCATACATCAACAGCATCACGGCCGCCCGACACCAAGATGCTTCACACAGTACCCGTATAAGGAATCGAACCCGGGTCCTCGGTGTGACGAGCGAACGCTTAAGGATCTAAACTACCCAACGGCCCTTATACTTAGTACAAATCTTTATTTGATAGATGCGGTTATGGAAGCTTCCAATTGTTTGTTTCACATCTAACAGTTCAATAATTTTTAGATACAATCACAAGTGCACCTTTTCCTATGCTAATGTTTTTAACGCTAAATTGTCTACCGCCACAGGTTCCAAAACGATTCTCTTGAATATTTATTCCGTTATAAACTCAAATCGGCTATCCCCCAGTTGTGAGAAATAAAAAGTTATAATGTCTTAAAGAGAGAGTCGACGACTAATTTGCACAACATTCTAAATGTGACTTATTGAGCTCGAGAATTACCCCAAATAACTTCCACGAGATCAAGGATATAATCGACTTATATACCAGCTGCTTATTACGTATCAAAGTGTTAGAACAAGAAGATATAAATGTGCGGGATTATCACCGTTGATTAATGTGATGTGTTTCCTATATCCTCAAAGCCGATGCAACAATTACGAAAAAATCTTTGTTGTATCTTCTACAATAATTGCTCCAAAATTATATTTTCATTAAAGCATATTTGGCTACTGCACTAATTGCTGCCACAGTTGTTATGATGATGATGATGATGAAACGCACTGTTAAATAAACCACATGCAATACATACCGATGTATTATCAGTGAACTATTGACCCGTATTTACTGTAACGGACTACAGCATTCATACCGAGTCCACCGTCGATTGTCATATGATACCCTATTGTGTTATAGATATGATATTCATTAGGTCGCACGTGACACACAGAAATACAACAGGGCAAATGCACTACAACCTGTATGACCTTATGAATATTACTCGTTCACATGTACAGGTATAAAAATCACGCATACGCAAACACAAAACTCGATGTGACAGTTCTTTAACATTCAGTATTGGCTATTTTCGACTTTTATTCTGTAAGATTAATTTAAGGCATTGATACATACTGAACAAGAAATAGTTAGGGATCAAGAACATTTTTTATGATATTTTGATGAAATGTGAAAATTTTATGTCAACCAAAAAAATATCCCGAAACATATTCATGAAATTAACCGTTTTTGTTCAGTATACGCCCATATTATTTAAAAACCAGTGTAATTTACGCGTCGAGGTGAAGGAATATGACGAGGTGTTCATTAGGAAATGTCAATGGTTGGCTTGGCATGGAATTCTCGGGATGTGTCCGCATGTGAAACAGAATGTCAGAGTGAAATGAGGCATGGTAGATTCGGGATGCGTCTGTATGTGAAACAGCATATGCCAGAGTGAAATGATGCATGGTAGATTCGGAATGTGTCTGTATGTGGAACACCATATGTAAGGGAGAATGAAGGCACGGGACCGTTGGATTGTGTCTGTATGTGAAATATGCTATAGAAGAACGTCAAGGAGGAGAGATATGCTCATATTTTATATTGGAAACGTCAAAAAGAAAGCAAGCATGGAAATTCAGGGATTATAAAGGAAACGCCAAGGCGGGGTTTGGCATGTAAGTGTAGGATATGTCATGTGAAATAGCAAACGTCAAGAGTAAAAGAAATAGAGGAATAATTTTATACGTTTACATAATGAACGTCACGGTTTCGGAAATACATTGATTGTAAAGATATTGTCATATTTCCCATAATAAATTCAATTGTCAAGGACAATGAAGGCATAATGCACGCACATGCATGTCCGTATCTGATCTATAGATACACTGTAGTTCCAGCGCCTACGGTTTAAGACACCATTCCCGTGTTACCAGTCCCACATTGAGTGGCATGTAAAAGTCAGCTGTCAATTTCTGTGACACACGTCTCAAAACATGAACACCTGAGAGATAATTTGTGGGAAGTCCACTGCACTTTTGCAAGGTAACGAGTGCACTGGGTGCACTTTAACATACAGAATGATGCAGACACCGAACCCTTAATTTGTGTTGTCGTGAGTTCTGTAAAGAAATGTCATAACAAGGGTTAAAGTCATAGGTAAAACACCTCATTAATACATACTTGGATGACTTGTTTTATAAGGGACTTGTCGGTGCTCAGCCTCGCTCGCTTTAATGCTGATAAATGAGAACCGGCCCACGTGACAAGAGCAAATTTTGATCGTTTGCTCAATTCGTCGCCCGTGGTTATACGTATAAAACCAAAGGCCCTTTCTTCATCTGCAACAAAATATGTCGAATACAGAATACAAACAAAATATACATTAACACAATGAAAAGACAACGCACACTACATCGCACACTCAGCACAAAAGTCATGGTCGTTCAGAAGCAAGAGTAAAACACGAATAAATTCAAAGTAAACGACAGAATAGCGTATGCAAACAATTAGCGTCAGTACGTCAAGCAGGGTTATAATAAGCATAGAGGAATGCCGAATGGTGCTAACGACCTTTGGAAGCTAGTATACTCAATTACATATAATGTTTAAACTTTTTGAAACTATTAAGTACTGTGACTCTGGCTATGCAACAGTTATAAGTACATATTATTGACATACGGTGCGAGATTTATATACATTACTATAGCTTACCCCCAAATTGTGATTGAAATTCGTCGTAATCATTCCCAATTGCGCTCTTCTGAATTGTATTTCCTTCATATTTGAACACAGCCCTGAAAAAGTCATAACTCATGATGAAACATTCCAGGACTTACGAGACACCATTGATGTGTCAGGTTGGTGGGTGTGTCTTTATTCAAGTACCCACTACAAGTTTGCAGACACGCTACAAAAATCAATTAACAAAACAACAAGCAGCAAACTAAATATTTCAAGCAAATGTTAAATGAAAGATTTACGCTGATAAAGCGAATTAGCATCAGATTAGCGATTGATCGTTAAACAAGGATTTTGAACATATGGCGAAGTGGTCCCCGATGTTTCACTCACCACAAGGTGGCCGATGTATCATCTCTCACGTCTTCGTAGGCGGCCCTCACGTCGTCTTTATCCAGTTTAGTCGACATACTGCTCGTTGTGAATATCAACACTGACGAGTGTTTGAGCTTCAAGGGGGAGAAGTCGTAGATTTCGTCTGGTCACCAAGTGAGAGCGGGCAGACGATAGACGGGGACGATGTCTAGAGGTTGACAGGTACAAGTCGCCGTGCTCTACAACAGACACTGTTATTTCCCAGGTACGAGACCGGCTTCTTTCAACAAATGCTCCCGTCCTTACCTGTTTCGACAATCCTTGCAATCTTCGCCCAGTGACATCACCTCGATCGATAAATGAGCTCGCGAGATGGCTAGCAGACGACGCATTTGAACCAATCAGCAGTGAGCTGACAGTAAACTTTCCTAATAAGGAAGTTAACGCCCCTCCGGCTCAAATTTTTACCATGTGACGGTAATTATCTGTCGGATAAGTAGTGGATGGAATTAGGAGTGATTAATATAGGTTATTACACCACAGGCGATGGTAGGAATGCCCGTGGGGTTATATAGTATCAAGCATTACAGTAAATACTATAAAGCAGAGTGCTGATAACTGCGAGGAATTCCGTTAATTTGTTTATTACCTAATTCACAGGTCACTCAGGGTGCAGACGGGTCAGTGCAGATGGAGTGTGATTATACTAGTATTCTCCTTGACAATACATAGCCGCTGAAGACCGCAAAGAGAACGGGAGAGGTGTGATCTGGCTTCGGGGTGGGAGGTCGGACAGTTTCCTTGAAAACAACAATTATGCTTCAGACTGTCACATTACTGCAAGGTGTTTTTCTGAAAAAAATTCAGGCTATTAGTTTTAATAAAAGCGTTGTAGTTTTAGCTGTCAAAAATACCTAAACTCGATACAAAATACTGACACAGACCACGACTCTGCTAAATACTGGTGCTGAAACAGACCATAACGCTGATTTGTTGAATGTTTGTTTAACGCCGCACTCAGCAATATTCCAGCTATATGACGGCGGTCTGTAAATAATTGAGTCTGGACTAGACAAGTCGGTGATTGACATCATGAGCATTGATCCACGCAATTAGGATACTATGACATGCATCAACCAAGTCAGCAGGCCTGACCACCCGACAACTCGCCTCTTACGACACGCACAGAAGCAACGAGGCTGCTAAATACTGGTGCTAAAACAGACCACAATACTGCTAAATACTGGTACCGACACTGTAATGGTCTTATTGACTTCTTGAACTTCTGTTTCGGAGGTTCAACTTTCTACTGAGTCAAAAGCACATGTCTGGTTTGTAGCCATGTTTAATCAACTAAAGGGGAATAACTCCCAATGATCTACAGTTTAGTGCTTGTACAACAACTAGCTATAATAACTGTGTACATAGCACTCTGGTGGAACATGCTATAATGTAAACACATTTGATATACTGACTTACTGCTACAGACACAGATCAGGATGCAGCTAAATACTGGTACTGACACAGACCACGATGCTGCTAAGGACTGGTACTGACACAGACCACGATGCTGCTAAATACTGGTGCTGACACAGACCACGACGCTGCTAAATACTGGTGCTGACACAGACCACGACGCTGATTTGTTGAATGTTTGTTTGTTTAACGCCGCACTCAGCAATATTCCAGCTATATGACGGCGGTCTGTAAATAATTGAGTCTGGACTAGACAAGTCGGTGATTGACATCATGAGCATCGATCCACGCAATTGGGATACTATGACATGCATCAACCAAGTCAGCAGGCCTGACCACCCGACAACTCGCCTCTCACGACATGCACAGAAGCAACCGAGGCTGCTAAATACTGGTGCTGAAACAGACGACAATACTGCTAAATACTGGTACTGACACAGACGACAATACTGCTAAATACTGGTACTGACACAGACGATAATACTGCTAAATACTGGTACTGACACAGACCACGACGCTGCTAAATACTGGTACTGACACATACCACGATGCTGCTGAATACTGGTACTGACACAGACGACGACAATGCTGCTAAATACTGGTACTGACACAGACGACAATACTGCTAAATACTGGTATTGACACAGACGACAATACTGCTAAATACTAGTATCGACACAGATCAAGATGCAGCTAAATACTGGTACTGACACAGACCAGGATGCAGCTAAATACTGGCACTGTAACAGACGACAATACTGTTAAATACTGATACTGACACAGACGAAATTACTGCTAAATACTGGTACTGACACAGACCACGACGCTGCTAAATACTGGTACTGACACATACCACGATGCTGCTAAATACTGGTACTGACACAGACGACAATACTGCTAAATACTGGAACTGACACAGACGACAATACTGCTAAATACTGGTACTGACACAGACGACAATACTGCTAAATACTGGTACTGACACAGACGACAATACTGCTAAATACTGGTACTGACACAGACGATAATACCGCTAAATACTGGTACTGACACAGGCGACAATACTGCTAAATACTGGTACTGACACAGACGATAATACTGTTAAATACTGGTACTGACACAGACGACAATACTGCTTAATACTGGTATTGACACAGACGACAATACTGCTTAATACTAGTATCGACACAGATCAGGATGCAGCTAAATACTGGTACTGACACAGACCAGGATGCAGCTTAATACTGGTACTGACACAGACCAGGATGCAGCTAAATACTGGTACTGACACAGACCGCGACGTTGCTAAATACTGGTACTGACAGACGACAATACTGCTAAATACTGGTACTGACACAGACGATAATACTGCTAAATACTGGTACTGACACAGACGATAATACTGCTAAATACTGGTACTGACACAGACGACAATACTGCTAAATACTGGTACTGACACAGACGACTGTACTGCTAAATACTGGTACTGATAGACGACAATACTGCTAAATACTGGTACTGACACAGACGATAATACTGCTAAATACTGGTACTGACACAGACGACAATACTGCTAAATACTGGTACTGACACAGACGATAATACTGCTAAATACTGGTACTGACACAGACGACAATACTGCTAAATACTGGTACTGACACAGACGATAATACTGCTAAATACTGGTACTGACACAGGCCACAATGCTGCTAAATACTGGTATTGACACAGACGACAATGCTGCTAAATACTGGTGCTGACACAGACGACGATACTGTTAAATACTGGTACTGACACAGACGACAATACTGCTAAATACTGGTACTGACACAGACGACAATACTGCTAAATACTGGTACTGACACAGGCCACAATGCTGCTAAATACTGGTATTGACACAGACGACAATGCTGCTAAATACTGGTGCTGACACAGACGACGATACTGTTAAATACTGGTACTGACACAGACGACAATACTGCTAAATACTGGTACTGACACAGACGACAATACTGCTAAATACTGGTACTGACACAGACCAGGATGCAGCTAAATACTGGTACTGACACAGACCAGGATGCAGCTAAATACTGGTACTGACACAGACCGCGACGCTGCTAAATACTGGTACTGACACAGACGACAATACTGCTAAATACTGGTACTGACACAGACGACAATACTGCTAAATACTTGTACTGACACAGGCCACAATGCTGCTAAATACTGGTACTGACACAGACGACAATGCTGCTAAATACTGGTACTGACACAGACGACAATACTGTTAAATACTGGTATTGACACAGACGACAATACTGCTAAATACTGGTACTGACACATACCACAATGCTGCTAAATACTGATGCTGACACAGACCACATTTCTGCTAATTAGTCGAGTCTGCACCAGACAATCCAGTGATTGACATCATGAGCATGGATCCGAGCAATTGTGATACGACGACATGCATCAACCATGTCAGCGAGCCTGACCACCCGATTCCGTTAGTCGCCTCTTACCTCAAGCATGGGTTGCTAAAGACCTAATCTGACCCGTATATTCACGGGTATGCTGACACAGACCAAGATGCTGCTAAATACTACTGTTGAAACTAGAGGCCACATCGCTGCTAAATACTTGACACTACAGACCACAACGCTGCAATGTGAAAAATCAAAAGATGAAACCCAGGGCTGTGCATGTTTGCCGATAACTTGTTATTGACTGTGAATACACAACTGGCGATTTGTACAGTCACCGCGGGCGGGAGGGTAGACTCGTGGTTGGTGTCTTTGCCCACAACGCCTATGCTCTGAATTTAATCTCTTCAACGCTCTACCACACAGGCGAAACACAGCTAATCTGTGGGATTATTTTGTAGCAATTTAATGGGATTTTCGCAAATACATGAGTTACATGTTGGATCGTCATGTCGAAGTATCGAAAAACAGCGTAAAGCCTAACTGCTCGCGTTCACGTTGGCATTTTGATCGCTGTTTATATCGTACTTTTCTACTACTTATCAAGACATGAGCATGGATTGGGATGCGATGAAATGCATCAACCAAGTCAGCTTGTCTGACCAGGCGATCCCGTTAGTCGCCTCGCACGGGTTGCTGAAGACCGATAATCTGGACCTTCTCGGAGATAATACAAAGTCATGAAAATATTTACCAACGTAATATGTAATGCTTTGTCTTGCCAAACCCTGGCTGGTCAAAAAAGAAGAATTTGCATACAGTAAAGTACGGTTATAACGAACTCAAAGGGACTACTAATTTTAGTTCGTTATAACCGTAGTTCGTTATATGCACATATACAGCATAACTACAGCAAATAGTCGGGACCAAAAAAGTAAGTTCGTTATATCCGCCAGTTCGTTATAAGCGTGTTCGTTATAACCGTAGTTTACTGTGTTTAACTCTTTGTGAAGGCACGATAGATAGGAAAGATGAGAGTAAAGCTAGTGAGTGAGTTGGGTTTAACGCCGCTTTTAACAGTATTCCAGTTATATCGCGGTGTGTCAGCTTAATGTGGGAGGAAAGCCCAAGGTGATGCAGGTCTCAGACGTTTACCACTTCGGTGAAACCCACGAGCACGGGTATGGTGCTGACAAACCTAGAAACATAATCGGGGCGAACCGGGATTCGAACCCACAATCATAGGTTTCTGGCGTGCCCAATGGACGTAACTCTGCACAGCGAATCGCGGCGCCTTAGACGACTGGGCCACCTGTGCCCCCTTGAAAGTAAAGTGAAATTTAATTCATTGCTTGTACTCCATGACATGTGAAAACAGAAAATGAAAAAGAACCAACGTTTTATTAGTGAATACACGTTAAACCTAAACTGAAATAGTTTCGTTATCTCAATATAGGGAAGGATAGGATGACTTCATGAACAAAGCATCACTTTTCTATTAGTGACAATATGCTCCTCAAAAAAGTTAAGGACCACCCTATTCTTTCATATCGCTATAGCTAATCTGTCATGCTATGAAAGATTAACTATTGTAATATGAAAGAGTCTGGTGATCCTTAACTCTTTTTAAGTTGTATTTTTACTTAGAACGCACTAAATGCCCCTTGAATTACAGAGTATTCATATACGACTGTAACCAGGCGGCCTGCGAAAATGTGAAAGGTATTCATACAAGCTTACAATTTATTTGAAAATGTAACATTCATCGAACTAAGGGCAATAATACAGTAAAAGGAATATAAAGCGAGTTTGTTATAATGCACGCTCTCGACTGAGTAATTATATTAATGGTTTCTTCTCACCGGCTGTGATTTCGTATTCCTGTTGGCGAGGAAAGGGTAAACTTTGTGACTGGGCCAGGCGATATTAACCTATTTCATAGATGAATAATTAACAGGCGTGTGCAGAACGCGGCCTCGTTAATATGAAAGGTGGACATGAATCGTGGGGGCAGATGATTAATAACACTTCGGCCTATCTCGTCACGTTCCGTAACCACCGAGGAAACATTCCGACTGCACATGTGACATCACTTGAACCGCGGTACATTGGACTGCACGTTCTTCAGATATTATTATTATCAGATTCTTATGCCTTTGTACATCCATTGTCACACGTG